ATGTGGTCGGAGGAATGCATCTTGAAGTGTTTCACGTGGTCAGTGGTCAGTGGTAGTTTAAAGACACCTGATAGGATGAGGCTCCTCCGTCACTCGAACTCAGGTCACTGGATTCGCAGGTGACAGTGGCAACCGCCACACCACCAGACAGTAGATGCACGCTCACCGCATACATAACATCACACATTCACACCACACATACAAACGACACGACATGCCATCAACAACATCGTTTCACTCACACAAAATATACCACAGTGCACGCCAACAGTGCAATCACATACACACGTGCTCACTCACCCACTCACTCACTCACTCACTTGCTAGCTCGCTCACGCAATGTCACACACACACGTACACACAAGCATCAATAGTGGAACAGTCTGTGAAATACAATGGCTCAATTACACATATGCGTAATCACATGCAGGTGCAGAAGTGTGGAGTAGGAGGAATCTGTGTGCATATGTGGTAGCCTCCTGGACATGTGTAATTGGGACATGCGTACGTAGTGGTGGGTGTGTGACCGCAATCGGTCGAACACAGACGACATAATAGTTTGTGAATCACAGTTTGCCGTTCAGCCTGTTGATTGACCAGGTGATTGATCAGACTGAGGAGTGGTGTTGAGTGCAATGGTGAAGTGTGATTGGGACGACGTGATCGAAGGGTAGTTGCGAAGTGATGCACATGGAGAGTGATAAATTCAAAAGTGCTCTAGGCACTAGCACTAGGCCTCGCCGAGAATCGAACTCGGGTCGCTGGATTCAAAGTCCAGAGTGATAACCGCTACACCACGAGGCCACGTTCGCGACCTAACCAAACACACCACACCACACATTTACAACATACCTACATCATACCGACAATTTATCAACGACAATTCCTCACACAATTATACATTCCACTACCAGGATCCACAACTACTACTACACCATCAACACTACAACACGCCATTTCCATATTCATCTTCATCTTCATCTTGTCCTTCACATTCGCCGTCACCTACATCTACACACACAACAAAACTGAACCAATCACTCTTGCTCACATCCACGTGCATGCGCGTGGAGCAGACCGACAGTCAGACAAACATCTCAATCGCCAAACAGAATTCCTGTCTTCCTGATTCACTCACTCACCCACTCACCCACTCACTCACACACTCACTCAATCACTCAATCACCAACTCACTCACTCACTCACTCACTCACTCACTCACTCACTCACTCACTCTCTCACATACCCTCTATCCAACTCACACGTCCACGAACACACTTGCACAGACACATTGACATCGCTGAAGCGTCCATCTATGTCATCCAATACAACAAGCTATCCAGGACAGCATCAACATCTGACTCGATACACTGTGTCTAGGTGATGTGCCATTCGATCGTCTCACAGACACCACAACCACTATTCCGGTCAGACGAAACGGCTCGACAAACGTGCCGACTGAGAAGTAGCTGTGTGCACTGGTCGAGTGTGAGTGGTGTGATGTGGTCGGAGGAATGCATCTTGAAGTGTTTCACGTGGTCAGTGGTCAGTGGTAGTTTGAAGACACCTGATAGGATGAGGCTCCTCCGTCACGCGAACTCGGGTCACTGGATTCGCAGGTGACAGTGGCAACCGCCACACCACCAGACAGTAGATGCACGCTCACCGCATACATAACATCACACATTCACACCACACATACAAACGACACGACATGCCATCAACAACATCGTTTCACTCACACAAAATATACCACAGTGCACGCCAACAGTGCAATCACATACACACGTACTCACTCACTCACTCACTTGCTAGCTCGCTCACGCAATGTCACACACACGCGCACACACACGCACACACAAGCATCAATACTGGAACAGTCTGTGAAATACAATGGCTCAATTACACATATGCGTAATCACATGCAGGTGCAGAAGTGTGGAGTAGGAGGAATCTGTGTGCATATGTGGTAGCCTCCTGGACATGTGTAATTGGGACACGCGTACGTAGTGGTGGGTGTGTGACCGCAATCGGTCGAACACAGACGACATAGTAGTTTGTGAATCACAGTTTGCCGTTCAGCCTGTTGATTGACCAGGTGATTGATCAGACTGAGGAGTGGTGTTGAGTGCAATGGTGAAGTGTGATTGGGACGACGTGATCGAAGGGTAGTTGCGAAGTGATGCACATGGAGAGTGATAAATTCAAAAGTGCTCTAGGCACTAGCACTAGGCCTCGCCGAGAATCGAACTCGGGTCGCTGGATTCAGAGTCCAGAGTGATAACCGCTACACCACGAGGCCACGTTCGCGACCTGACCAAACACACCACACCACATATTTACAACATACCTACATCATACCGACAATTTATCAACGACAATTCCTCACACAATTATACATTCCACTACCAGGATCCACAACTACTACTACACCATCAACACTACAACACGCCATTTCCATATTCATCTTCATCTTCATCTTGTCCTTCACATTCGCCGTCACCTACATCTACACACACAACAAAACTGAACCAATCACTCTTGCTCACATCCACGTGCATGCGCGTGGAGCAGACCGACAGTCAGACAAACATCTCAATCGCCAAACAGAATTCCTGTCTTCCTGATTCACTCACTCACCCACTCACCCACTCACTCACACACTCACTCAATCACTCAATCACCAACTCACTCACTCACTCACTCACTCACTCACTCACTCACTCACTCACTCACTCACTCACTCACTCACTCACTCTCTCACATACCCTCTATCCAACTCACACGTCCACGAACACACTTGCACAGACACATTGACATCGCTGAAGCGTCCATCTATGTCATCCAATACAACAAGCTATCCAGGACAGCATCAACATCTGACTCGATACACTGTGTCTAGGTGGTGTGCCATTCGATCGTCTCACAGACACCACAACCACTATTCCGGTCAGACGAAACGGCTCGACAAACGTGCCGACTGAGAAGTAGCTGTGTGCACTGGTCGAGTGTGAGTGGTGTGATGTGGTCGGAGGAATGCATCTTGAAGTGTTTCACGTGGTCAGTGGTCAGTGGTAGTTTGAAGACACCTGATAGGATGAGGCTCCTCCGTCACGCGAACTCGGGTCACTGGATTCGCAGGTGACAGTGGCAACCGCCACACCACCAGACAGTAGATGCACGCTCACCGCATACATAACATCACACATTCACACCACACATACAAACGACACGACATGCCATCAACAACATCGTTTCACTCACACAAAATATACCACAGTGCACGCCAACAGTGCAATCACATACACACGTGCTCACTCACCCACTCACTCACTCACTCACTCACTCACTTGCTAGCTCGCTCACGCAATGTCACACACACACGTACACACAAGCATCAATAGTGGAACAGTCTGTGAAATACAATGGCTCAATTACACATATGCGTAATCACATGCAGGTGCAGAAGTGTGGAGTAGGAGGAATCTGTGTGCATATGTGGTAGCCTCCTGGACATGTGTAATTGGGACATGCGTACGTAGTGGTGGGTGTGTGACCGCAATCGGTCGAACACAGACGACATAATAGTTTGTGAATCACAGTTTGCCGTTCAGCCTGTTGATTGACCAGGTGATTGATCAGACTGAGGAGTGGTGTTGAGTGCAATGGTGAAGTGTGATTGGGACGACGTGATCGAAGGGTAGTTGCGAAGTGATGCACATGGAGAGTGATAAATTCAAAAGTGCTCTAGGCACTAGCACTAGGCCTCGCCGAGAATCGAACTCGGGTCGCTGGATTCAGAGTCCAGAGTGATAACCGCTACACCACGAGGCCACGTTCGCGACCTAACCAAACACACCACACCACACATTTACAACATACCTACATCATACCGACAATTTATCAACGACAATTCCTCACACAATTATACATTCCACTACCAGGATCCACAACTACTACTACACCATCAACACTACAACACGCCATTTCCATATTCATCTTCATCTTCATCTTGTCCTTCACATTCGCCGTCACCTACATCTACACACACAACAAAACTGAACCAATCACTCTTGCTCACATCCACGTGCATGCGCGTGGAGCAGACCGACAGTCAGACAAACATCTCAATCGCCAAACAGAATTCCTGTCTTCCTGATTCACTCACTCACCCACTCACCCACTCACTCACACACTCACTCAATCACTCAATCACCAACTCACTCACTCACTCACTCACTCACTCACTCACTCACTCACTCTCTCACATACCCTCTATCCAACTCACACGTCCACGAACACACTTGCACAGACACATTGACATCGCTGAAGCGTCCATCTATGTCATCCAATACAACAAGCTATCCAGGACAGCATCAACATCTGACTCGATACACTGTGTCTAGGTGGTGTGCCATTCGATCGTCTCACAGACACCACAACCACTATTCCGGTCAGACGAAACGGCTCGACAAACGTGCCGACTGAGAAGTAGCTGTGTGCACTGGTCGAGTGTGAGTGGTGTGATGTGGTCGGAGGAATGCATGTTGAAGTGTTTCACGTGGTCAGTGGTAGTTTGAAGACACCTGATAGGATGAGGCTCCTCCGTCACTTGACTTCGGATCATATCAACAACTACATCAAAACTAGTACACGTCACTTCCATAGTGATCTCCATCTTTTCCTTCACTTTCTCTGTCACCTTCATGTTCATACGCTTATATGATTCAAAGCTGTATGTGGTTTTGGGTTTGTTTGTGATATGCTTTTGCCGATTTATGTTTTCAAATGTATAAATTCAGTTTTGTTTTTCCTAAATTTTGGAATGTTGTTTTTTTGTTTGACTTTGTTTGTTTTAGATCTCATTTGATTGATTTGGTTTATCTTATTTTGTATTGTATTGGATTAATTTTATGATCGGGATAACAGCATGCTCATCTGTATTGAATAAAGCATTGCCTTCAGAAGAAATAGAATCCCTTTACAATAAAACATACTCATCATATACTTTAATAATATATTCACATAAAAACAAATACATAAACATTGAAATGAAACAATAATGTTGAATGGAAAGAATTAGGATCTTTTATGTATCACATTTGTTTGATGATTTAGGAATGATGATATCTTTGTATCTATCGTATTCTTTGGAAATTGGTGTCTTTCTGTTACATGAAGCAAACCAGTTGATGTTGCAATACAATAGCAATTACAATTGTATTGATAGTAGAGCAAATGTTCATCATGTAGTAAGTGATGATATAAAAAGGACGAAACAATCTTACAAGCATATATATAGGTAATTTATTATAAAGTAGTAGTATGAGTGGTTGTAGTAGTAGCAGTAGTATTAGTAGTAGTATTGGTACTAGTAATAGTAGTAGGATGGAGAAAAGAAAATCGACAACTAAGATGAGAAATAGAGAAAGCCACAGCCTTAATGATGGGTTTCAATTACGTAATGTGTTTAGATGAATCAACAGGGCAAACAAACAAAAACAACAACACATTGTATAATAAAATTTCCTAAATGTTTGTGTACAAAACGAAGAGAGAAACCATAAAGAAAGTGAGAAGGTTAGAAAGACAATAGGTGCACAAGTTCGATTATGTGATTTCAATAGACCAAGTAACATAAATATTCAAAGTTGTTTCTTAAATTTTCATTGGTTAGATAAGAGGTAGTGTAAATCTGTGTAATAAGTATGATCATCATAATAATCAAGATGTAAATGGATATTATTATTATTATTATTATTATTATTATTATCTAGATGCAATCGTTTCAGGAAAGTCTTGAGCTAAAGATGCTTCTATAGCTAGTTCAAGAAGGAAGCCATCAAGTACTGGGATATCATTGAATGAATTTCGTAATGAATCAACATTTGAACTGTTATGTAAACTAAAAGATAAACATAGAATAGTGAAATCTATGTTATAAATTATTAAAATATCAAATACAAACTAACACATAATGCAGTTACTTTATTATCATTATCGTCATTAGTAACTCTTCTAAACACAAAGAATTGAAATCATGCACCGGTCAATGTTAGGCCACGGTTGGAAACTTGGGAGCACTAGTCGGCCATTTCTTCCAAGTATGGGACTACTCAGCAATGCGCATCCACGATACCATACACGGGACTCAAACCTAAGAACTTCAGACTCGCGCGCGAATGCTTAACCCCTAGACCACTAAGCCGGTGTCTGACAGAGTCAATTCCTAAATCTAACCAATCCACGACATTGCGCGACCAACTTTCATTGTCTTCAGTGCGTAAGTGCCTCATAACAGACAGTCAGTCAATAACAACGTAGAACTTCAAACGTACGTACATCAGTTCGAGTAGTCATACCACATTAGCACAGAGATGCAGTGGTCGATTCAAATCCCGTAGTTGTAGATGTAGTAAGAGTATAAGCAGTAATCGGAAAAACTAGGGTTTGAAGATGTTATTCAAGGAGTACAATCCAGTGAAATAAAACATAACAGACAAGGTTGAAGTGCACTGGTCACGGCTTCTCGCCATATCCTCCAAGAACTATCTCTCAGAACTAGATTGTGTATTAGGTTTTCTTTAGTCATGGAAAGTATAAGCCCATACAAAGTTTTTTTTCAATACAAAGATTAAGTTATATGAACTTGCCTTTTTTATGGTGTCTACTTGGTGTCAGAGATGAGTTCGACGAAGATCAAAATAAACTTCACAAGGAACATAAAGATGTATGTAAGCTGTTTTATTCAATGTTAAAACACGTTATCAGCAAGTGTTAAGAACTAGCTTTCTAAATTCAACCTCTCAGTTTTCTGATTTCTTCGATAGAATTCTTTTTTAGAATAGGGTTGTGGAGATTGTTGTACAACTAGACTACGCAGATGACCTCGCCCTTCTATACCATACACACGGAAAAATGCAGGTGACGACTAGTGTAGCAGCAGGCCTCAACATACACAAAGAAAAAAAGCAAGTTCCTCAAGTACAACACAGAGAAGACCTCCTCAATCAGATTTAATGTAGAGACTCTGGAAAATATGGAATCCTTCATGCACCTGGAAAGCACCATCGATGAAGACGTAAAGGCCAGGACCGGAAAAGCAAAGACAGAATTCCTAGGGTTGAAGAACATTTGAAACTCAACACAACTGTTAACTAATATCAAAGTCACAATCTTCAATACGAAAGTCAGGACAGTCCTACTGTACGGAGCTGAATCTTGGAGAACAACTACAACCATAATAAAAAAGTACAAGTATTTATGTCCGTTGACCGGATATCACCAGTCACACCCTATTATGGGAAAGAACAAACCAACTTCCATTTGAAGAGGAAATTAGAAAAAGATGATGGATGTGGATAGGACACACATTGAGGAAATCATCAAACTGCATTATGAAGCAAGCGCTTACTTGGAATCCTGAGGGGAAATGGAAAAGAGGAAAATCGAAAAACACACTACGTCGAGAATTATAAGCAGACATGAAAAGGATGAATAGCATCTGGAAAGATTTGTCCAGGACTGGGATGGATAGAGAATGCTTGTCAACAGCCTATGCTCCTTCATGACAGGTAATAGGCATAAGTAAGTAAGTAAGTAAGTAAGTAAGTAAGTAAGTAAGTAAGTAAGTAAGTAAGTAAGTAAGTAAGTAAGTAAGTAAGTAAGTAAGTAAGTAAGTAAGTATTCATTTGTACATCCTTTTCTTTACATTTACATAATAAAAAGCAAACTAAATTGATGTGAAATTGAGTTTACCTTTCAAAGAATGGTTTCAATGTATAAATATTGACAAGTTTATCTAAAGCCAAAATACTGAAACAACTTTGATATAAAGTAGATGAATTTTCCATAGATGTTATATCAATACCATTCGATATGTCAATTTCTTGTAATTTCTATGGTATATAAAAGGTACAAAAATGCAAATGAACATCGAAAATATAAAAACCTTAAAAAACCAAAATATTTAAAACAATCAATCCATTTGATAAATTCCGATAGTGTAATAAGAAGATGAAGATTATTAGAATTATGTGATATATCTCTTGTTGAGTCGACTTCTGAGAACTACAATGAAGCCTCCAGAGGCCCTAAAGGAGCCGAAGAGTTTCTATCCAATTAAAACATGAGAGAGCTTTCTAGAATATCAATGTAACATGCTACTATTGGACAGTACCATAATATGTCTCTTTACGGATTGGCCAAATTATAATGTTGATTTCACAAATGCTAATATCTATAAATACCCGTGATTTTTTGTACATTTGGATTCTTATCAAATAAACACTTCTTCAGTTTTTTTTCTATCTTCTGATTTGCGACGGTGAAGTTTCAACGTTCGAGTGTCGTAGTCATAACCGTATTCTACATCAGTCAAGTAGCGAACTTAACTTGGCTTTTGTGGTGTTGTGCAAAAGTGAAAAAAAGGGCGTATACTAAGGTTTGTTGAAGCCTTAGTCATACGAAAATTCAGACCCTCTCTGCGTACTTCAAAATAGTTTGTTCTCACTATTATCCAGAAGTGATTAGGTTTCAAACTGTTTTCGCATTATTTCTTTATTATCCTTGTCTCATTTCTAGTCAAGTTGACCTTTTATTTTTATACATAAATGATCTTAACAAGTATATAATGTGTAATCAGATTGTTCGAAATGTATTCCACTAATATATATCATCACATAGTTCTGGTCCTGGTCATCATCATTATCTTCTTATTACACAATCGAAACAAGATATTGCTGATAAGTTTTAAAATCATGATTATTAGTACAGACGGATACACACTTTCATTCTTACTTACATTGGAATATACAATTAAATATTCATTATGACATGAGAGTGAGATTCAGTCATATATAGATTGTTTCCTAACGCTTGACCCAATCAATTATGTGACAGTAGGTGACTAGAATGTATAGGAAGCTTTACTTTTGAAACCAAATAGTTCTGTGCATAAATCATACATGATGGTAACCTTGGTTAGATGATTAATTCGCTGAATTACAATAGCATATCTACTCCTCTTGTATTTGTCACTTATCATTGGGATAGTATGTAATTACTCTGGACTTTTGAGTAAAATTATACTCCTATAGATTCGTCCACTCTAACAATACTATTACCATTAGGAAATGAAGTTTGGGAACACTTATTTTTGTTATGAACTGACTTTATTTGGATAATCACTTAAAATGACAGTTCAGTGAATAGATGTTTCGTGTTGCATAAAGACTCCTTCTTAGTATGTACCGATGATACTATCAACGAGCGAACCTACGAAAACTTGTATATCAGGCTTTTAAAAAAATAAGAACAGATTTATTTACAAACAAATTATACTTGTACTTGGTATTGTTTATTTGAATCTTCCTATTATTGTTTAGCACTGCAATTGATCAGTCTCTTATTGGCATATGCACATACTGTGCGTATTGCCTCAATTCACAAGCATTATAAGCAAAGATAGATAGTGGTTAGCAAGAAATCCAGGACGCGGGGTTCAACCTATTTGGGACTTGTCAGGTGGATATACCCGCATCTCAGAGTTGATGTTCACTCCGGGACTCGAACCCAGTACTGTTCGCTTCAAACGCTATCGCGTTATCCACATCCAGATGATAAGTTCCAAATAAGATGAAATCCGCGTTCTGGATTCCCTGATAGCCACCATCTATCTTTGCTTATAAATTGTACTTGTGTTTCAAATAACTGACGCTTACCACAACACTTTCAATTACAAATGATAATGTAGCGATTTTAGTAAAACTTACTTCAATTTGTGTTAGAACATCGGAAATGAACGGAAGAAACGATATTCTTCGATTGTTATTCACTGTGGCGACATTTGTCATTTCCTCTTGGTTAGTTAAATTATCAAAAGTTATATCTTTGACAAATGCCCATTGATAACTGAGATTTAAGAGAGAAGAAGATCAAGTAAACAGAACTTTGTAACACTAAAAGGGTGATTTTATTATTATATATATATAGAGAGAGAGAATGGCCGCTACAGAGAGTTCCAATAAGGACTTAGAGCTGATCAATGGTCAATCTAATCGATTACTATGGAAAAACTGTACTCATGTTTTTCAGAGCAATTTTATTTTCGTCAAAATAGTCATAGTCTTCCATAATCATTTTTAAGGTTAAAGAAATTTCCACAGCAAATGGATAGTGTCTTTAAAATGAGGATAATGATGATGATATGTATTGATGTATGCCGATAATGAGTGTTTCACTGTTGGGATATTCATGAAAATATCCCAAAAATTATTCTGTTAAGTCTAACGCTATCCTTGGACTTGAGATGGTGTCATTTCCTCATTGGTCAATGTTTATTTCAAGTGTCATTTTCCTACTGGCCAATATTGTACAATGTTATTTTCTATTTTATGGTACGATGTGGTTTGTTTGTTTGGTATATAAATAGAGTATGTCTGAAGTATAATGATTCATATATCAGAGGCTAAGACTTGCGTTCTGGACTCAACTGGCTGGGATAGACAGCGAAGCAGGGCCAATCGGGACTCTAGACCGTTCGTACGTGTTTACGTGTCACCGAGTCGATCGATAAACACGCTGCGCATCTAACCTGCAAACAACCCGTTACAACATTCACAAAATAAGATGGATATATTAAAATGTTCAAACGTGTAATATTATCAAGATTATATGATATTACTTAAAATGTATAGGCTAATAAATTCACAGTACAATGTGTACTATGCCCAGGGATGATTACATGTATCACCGGTAAAAAAAAACTGTTATATTCCCGATGTGAATAATGGATGGTAACTGTTGGGATCCATTTATGGACTAATACTATACGTATATTTTTATTGTATAATTGTTAAGTAACTAAACTATGCATATTTGTGTTCCTCTTATTATAAGCTTTATTTTGACCCATAGACTAATATTATACAATTTACCAGTCTTGAGTTATGCCTAATTACCCACATTCACAGCCACTTTTGGCTAAATCTTGTACAAATGTTGTTTCATATTTTATGGTACGATGTGGTTTTTCTGGTTGGTATATAAACCCAATATGTTTGAAATACATGATTCATATCGTGGAGGCTGAGATTGGTGTTCTAGACTTAACTGGCTGGGCTAGGCAGTAAGGAGGACCGATAAGTACTCCAGACTGCTCGCACGGGTTTTATGCGTCATTGGTCCGGTTGATAATCCACTGTTCTTTAATTGGTGGTATCACTACGTTATACATTATTAGGACTGTTCTGCTATGGATTTGGGTATCAATGGATTGAATCCCACAATTCGCTAAAACATTATTATTTTTTGTAGAAATTTCAGGAATCACATTCGTTAAATATACATTATTGCTTACTAGGAAAATTGTGGCAGTCTATATTCTGGATATAATAAACTTGTAGCTAACAATTTACATGCACTAATATACAAATTCATTTGTGAAGTAGACAGAAATGATGATGATGATGACGACGACGTGGAGGCATCAGGTTTGGCTTTCCTTGATTGAATTTTAGAAACGCTAAAAGTGTAGAAAAAAAGAGACAGAACTTGGTAACGAATGACAATTTCAAATTATCACGATAATATTGAAAAAACATGTCCAGGGTGATAAGGAACAACTAGACTGAAAATTAATACGTCCCTTATAACTATGATAATGGTTACTCTGGTTCAAATGTGAAGAAGTGAACTAGCAAATCAAGGGTAGAATTCCTACGGAACTTGAGAGAACTGTCAGTCGACATGAAAGTCGAAATTTTGAGTACAAACGTTAAGACAGTTACATTGTACGGGACTGAAGGTTGGGAAACTACTACAACTACCGTCAAAAATGTATATGTATTTATGGATAGTTGTCTACGCACAGTACTCGTTGATCGATGACTGAACACCATCAGCAACAACCTACTGTGGCAGAGAACAAGTCAGCTTCCAGCTGAAGAGGAAAATAAGAAAAGATGCAAGAGGTGGACATTTGAGAGGGACAGATATAAGTTTTTTTCTTTTGGCAAGTATACACTGCATGCGCACTTCAAACACACAATTTAAAATAACCTACTGATTTCATAGAACACACATGAATATAGATTCCATTTGAAAGGTCAAAATGGTCGAGTTAAATCATTCATAAACCGATGAATGGAATAGATCGATAAGTTAGAAAGGAAGTAAACGAATTCTAACAAAACATTGTAGCCGAAAGTCATGACGAAATTGTGGAAGGTTTAATGCCATGTATATATATATAATAGATAACCATTAGCTATGAAATGTGCACATACGTTTCAATCAGATAGTTCATTCCATACTAAAGAATAAATTCACAAGAAGGGAACTCACCATTCTTGAATTGCTTGAGACAGAGATTTGAATGTGAGGAACTATACAATAAATTAAAGAAAATAATTTATAATATAAAAGAGAACATTATAACAATTGAAAAGTGATTAAAGTGAGAGAAATCAGTGATCATTGTCTAATTCCTAAGAAAATATTGTGTCGGGCCTCTTAAAGTATGAACATAAGATGATCTACTTAACATAATGAATAATTTTAATCGTTGAGATCATAAATCAATTGTACCTAGACTACGATGTAAAACCTGAAAGCACTAGACAGTTGTTTTGCCCTACTGTGGAACTCCTCCACAAAAAAACCTCTTCTGATAATAAATAATGTTGAGAATATCCAATATGAAAGTTGTATGATACATACAATATCGCTGAGTAATTCGAATAAAAACGTATAAAATACAAGTCACCTTGTAATTTAGTCGCCTGATCAACGTGTAAACGGGAACATAGTATTATACAAATAAAGGTAACTTTTAGCATTTGACTTGTTGTAGACATATTAATTACTGGGATGAAGTACTTTCCTTAGGTAGTTTGAATATCATAATCAAAATCATTTTATAACCATTTTCATCGAAATATCAGTGAAGATTTAAATTTTATAAGTAGCTGATTAGGTTCTTTAAAGATATCTATCTACCTATCTACCTACCGACTAGACAAATCATGTATACATATGTGACAAATATAGGTTCTAATTAAGTCAGTCAGTCAGCTACAACATAGGACCAGACACATATATGCATCGCTCCAAGTTGGTAAACCTCATTAGCACAATAAGATGAACACCGAATTCATGGAAGTAGTTATTTCAATGATAGTAATATATAAAAGAAAGATTGCATATAAGGATATAGTACAGGAAGAAAGATATAAAGAAATTTCAGTCTCACAATTTAAGGGAAGACAGTGAGTGTATACACTTATGCCATTGTGATCGATTCTGAGCCATGTCACCAAGAGTCTCCAGCCATGGGTTACGATAGTCACGTGGACCCCAAACAAGTAGTCTGCATCTACCAACATGGCACAGACTAGAAGTCAGTGACTTCAAGCACTGATGCCACATTTTGGTTTGGCAACGCCTAACTTTCTTCTAACCATTCCCAACACTAGTCAGCATTGCGCGTCGTGGTAATCGGTGTTCAGGCATACACACCACATGGCCCAACCATCTCAGTCTATGAAGATTTACAACCACATCAATCGATTTACTATCATGCCCTAATACCCTGCTCCTAGCCTCACTAATACTTACCAGCAGATACCAGCAATATTTCTAAGACATTTGTGATCAAATACCAGTAACTTAAGAGTATCTTAGAGTCTTAATGGCCACGTTTTGCAGCCGTAAAGTAAAACAGAACGAACTGCCTCACAGTACACGGACGGATATCTCGCCTTCGCCATAGGTGATGTTCTGATTAAACTGTGTAATCAGTTCTTAATTTGTTATAAATTTTAAAGTTATATTTTAGCTACTGGAATTTACAATCGTAGAGAAAGATACAACTAGCTAAAAAACAAAGATACATTTCACATTAGAAGAAAACAAGTCAAAATATTTATGAGGCGTCTGTCACATTAGCTAAGTATGAAGAAATAACAATAACGATAGATGATTATAGGCAACAGGTATACAGATATACAATCAAGCAGCATTAACTGACAACTCCGTCTGGAGTCCCGCCGGAGGCTACTGCCGGTCCCAAGCCCAGATAAAGGAGGAGGGTTGCGCATGGGGTTAGCGACATCATCCCGTAGAAAACTAACTCGCCCAGAAAACGCTAACCAGAAAAAATTATTAAAACCTTTTAAACTCTGCCCTGGGAGTCAGAAAGTCTTCATTTAGAAGAATTATGACGCCTCAAGATGGAAGCCGAGTTCCTTCGGAAGTTACGAGGCCGATGCCCTTTCTGACAACCAGAGCAACCATTTATTTAGGTACATGGAATGTTCATACAATTTGAGACACCGTAAGAGCCTTCCAAATTGCTGCAGAAATGAGGACACACTACGCCGGGAAATGGAAATAGACATGAGAAAAATGAATAAGAATTGGATGGAACTACAGAAGAAGGCTCAGGACAGAGTGGGTTGGAGAATGTTGGTCTGCGGCCTATGCTCCATTAGGAGTAACAGGCGTAAGTAAGTAAGTAATCATTAACTGAAAAGAGTCAAGAAGTTCAAGAAAATAGATTCATTCATGAAAACGAGAAAAAATTAGGCAGAAAAACAAAAGCAAATTTACTAAACTAACCAATTCTGGTACAACTATAGGCCATAAAGAATTCAATTGTATAGCTGACATACGAGATATTAAGACACGAGCAAATAAAAACACTTGAGTATGAACCACTGGAATTATACCTTGACCTAAACGTAGACATTCAGCAAGACGTTCTGTAGAAAAAGAAGGAAATAATAGAACAATCAAACAAACAATAGAAAATTCAAAAAAGAAAAGGAATTATCTAGTTGATACAATGAATAATGTAGCAGTCACTTTTGACGGGGTTCCCGTACAAATTATCATTGGAAAACAGAAGTATTGAAGACGCCAAGTAGATTTTTTTGGCCAATCATTATTTAACAAAACTGTAGTCAGATTTTCTTAAAAAGAAACAATGAAATGTGAACTTTATGTACAATAAAATAACTTTTCATATTCCAGACAGTAATTTACACTACACAATTGACTAATTTATCATCGCTGACTATTATATAACAATATCAGAAGGGGCTTTGTGAATATTATAGTAATTTCAATAGTTGAGATTATGAGTCATTTGAGGCTAGACCACCATGGAAAAGCTGGAAACATTGAACAATCATTTCGTCCTACTGTGGGACTCTTCAGCAGTGCGCATTCAAGATCCTGCCTTGCGAGACTCGAACCCAGGACCTACGAGTGGTGGATGTGTCGCTCAATCTCGTGGATTAGTTGAAGTCAGACATTAACAACATTAGATACCGGCCGGTTCAGTGATTTAGAGGTTAGGCATTCGCGCGCGAAACTGATAGATTCTAGGTTCAAATGTCGCGAGGCAGGATCGTGGATGCGCACCGCTGAGGAGTCCCAAAGTAGGATGAAACGGCCGTCTAGTGCTTCCAGCTTTTCCATAGTGGTCTAGCTTCAATTGACTCATGACTATTAAAATATAACAATCCGATGACTAAATTGTCATGTTCAACAGAAATACACAAACAGATGATGGTCTATTAATCCTATAAGTTTCAAATATATTGAAATGGATATCTTGCATTGTACTAGTGATTATGAATACTTAATCACATAGTGTTCACATTTCAAAAGTAAAAACTTGATTTATTTCCCAAAAGCTGTATTCATATGGAATAGTTAACGTGATCAGAAAGTTTGTATGCATTATGGGCAATACGAATAATTCATTGAGTGTAATTGTCATTACTCCGCCTGTAGCTCTTCTAGAATTACTGCCGGTCTCAAGCCCGGGTAAAGCAGGAGGGTTGCGTATGGGGTCGGTAACCCCATGCCGTAGAAACAAATCTTGTTAAAAAAGAAAACGCTAACCAGATTAAATCTTGCTAAAACGGAATTTTTCATGCTTATAGATAATATAAACTGAACACTAGACCGACTTGCAAAATATAGGTCAAAGGTCAAGGACACATCATGCATGATTAAAGATAAGGGTGTGACTTTTGCTAAAATAATGAAATGAAGAGAATAGTGAACTAATTTGATAGTTGTAATTCTGACAGTGTAATAATAGCAATACAATGAATGATTTTATTCACTTGGTATTGTTTCATTTGAATCTTCCCATTGATATTTTTAGGACTGAAATTGATCAGTCTCTTATTAGCATATGTGCATACTGTGCGTATGCCTTGATATTGCCTTAATTTACAAGCATTATAAGCAGAAATGGATAGTGGCTAGTAGTGGAATCCAGGACACGCGTTTCGTCCTGTTTGGGACTCGTCAGCTGGATGTACCTGCATCCACTGCTAGCCATTATCCATCTTTGCTTATAATGAATGATATAAGTAGAAAATATTCTGACATAGAGGATGAAGTGTAGTTAATTGTTTAAGGTTACCTTATTAATTAGCTAGTTAACACAAGTATTAACAGCCGAAGGAAATGAATGAAAAACACTGGCAAATCATTTTGACAACTATACACATACCTAATAAATCAGGCATTGCTTTCGCATATTGATCCGGTTCACTTGCATAGACTAGATAAGATAATTTTTTCAAACAGGCAGCACGTAGATCATATTCACTCTCTTTACTAGTAAATAAATTTAAACCACCCGGTTGAGCGAATACAAGACGAGCTGGAAGGAAATTCGGAAAAGATAGATACTGTATCCTTCATCGACTTGCTATTTCAGTTATAAAATAAATATTAAGTGAAGTAAGGATCAGTGAATGAATTTAACACTAAAATACAAGACCTATTACCTCAAATCGAACTGGTTCGTCCATAAATTATAACTTTTTACTTGATAGACAAAAAAATTGGTTCACTGTTAAGTGGCTAGATGTTGTCGACAAAAAAACCCTGGACAGGTCTCGTGCTATTTAAAATGCATCAGTGAGGTATACTTTCAATCTCAGTCAGTCAGTCAGCTACAACGTAGGACCAGTCACATATGTGCATCGGTCCAGGTTGCCATACCTCATTAGCACAGCAAGATGAACAGCGGATTCATAGGAGTGGTTAGGTCAAAGGTTGCAATAAGGATATAGTATAGGAAGAAAGAATTATTTCGTAGACAGAAAGAATGAAGTGATTTTAGTCTCTTAGTTTAAGGGAAGACAGGGAGTGTATACACCGACGCCATTGTGATCGATTCTGAGCCATGTCACCAAGAGTCTCCAACCATTGGTTACGAAAGTCACGCGACCCCAAGTAACTGGTCTCTCTCGGGAGATTTAACACCACATCATGTAGTTTCAAAGTCTGAGACGTCACTACTGAGCTATGCCTGTCGTGAATGATCTCCTGTAGGATTGAGATATGTGCAATTAACTGATCACTGAACAGTGACCGATGTCGTGCTTGTCTGGTCCCTTTGGTTATTGACTGTGAAGCCGATTAACTCGGTATCGAATCCAACAAGGAGCACCAACTGGAGATAACAGGTACACCTTACTGATAAGTACCAAAGTGCACAAAAACTAGGTTTACTGTTCTCTGCAGACTACCTTTAACCATCTAATATCTCATTATAGTGAACTCGACGTCGAGTCACATTGAAACTCACCTGATAGCGTTATATCAGTACTAAAGGATAAGACAAACATTTATAATTACTCCTCAGTGAACGATCAGTCGTAAATCAAATCCTTCTGCGCATAAATTTAGTGATATAGGAAAAAAAAACAGTTTAGTTTAAGAAATATGACAGATTTATGTATAACATTAGTTGATTCATTACTCTAAAAAACTGATATATTTCTAACTACCAGAATATTTTTAATAGAAGACAGATATTCATAACATGTTAATTGCTATCAACGGGAATATACATAGAAGAGAGACAAATTAGATGAATTATAAATCCAAACGTACAACAATTCTACTCTGATCGCGATGAATAGAATGAATTTGTGACAATATTCCAAGTACCCTTTAGGAAAATCGTGTAGGTACGACTACACTACTTAATATTTGTAAGTAGTATGAGTTTTCTACAAAAAGTATCAGAGCTTCATATTTCAAGGTGCTTGAGTATTTTCTGAGGTATTCTAACAAAAAATTCTTCATTCCAAAAGGAAGTGAAAATTATTAGCTTTTCTGTAATTGATCAATATATAGTGGTGTTTTGATAACAAATGATTTTGAGACTTCAAAATGGTAACGAACAAAATACCCGTGGTATACAGGTTTTCACACCGAGTCATCAATACTTGGGACGTGCTGCCCGAAGCAGTGGTGTCCGCACCTTCAATTGACACTTTCAAAAGGAGACTGGACACTCACAGAAGAATACTAGAAAAGGAATAACATAGGCCGTAGGCCTTCTATCCTTACTACATAAATCTGAATCTGAAAAACAAAAGAATATGGGTGAAGTCGGTATTAGAACTAGAATTAATCTTTTCGATGTGTGGAAATCTTGAATATACCCAAAGAGAAATAAACTTCACATACCTAATGCTTCTTTAAATGTACTTTTATCTTGTGTCATTAAATTATCAATGATTAAATTCCAACTTTGTAAAGCAATTGGACTCATTTGAAAAAATACTGATTCATAAAATAAATCCAAAACATCACGACGCCATGATTTACGTGTATATTGATAACTACTAATCGATGCAATTAATTTACTGGCTACAGTAAAATGATCTGAATTACTTAATCTAAAAGAAATGGTTTTTTAAATAGAAAGAAAATATTACCAGTATAATGTTGGAAAGTTATTAATGATGAATAGAAGATAATGGGAAGAAAATGACAATACTATGAACAAAAGTATTGAATAAATATATACAGGATCTAGAACTTCAAGTAATTCACTTTTAATGATTATACGAGAAATTATTGAAGTAGAAACTGAATAATACTGAATACGGATGTTCTCATACAGTAAAACTTTTAGATGTGAGTCGAACCACACTTTATGAAGTATGTAACAGTTAGTGGACTAGTCTGTTGTCATCTTTGATTATTTATTTATTTGAACACATAAATATTGATACAAAGGGGCACCAAATATATATGCGCCGCACAGATCACTTGATTTGTGTGAGGACCGGGTGATCAAACCGAATCAGATGGTTTTCTTAGGGAGCCACAACCGGAGCATTTGACCTAAAGGTTTGGTCAACAAGGCAGTAGAGCAACGTAAGGAGATGCAGTCATATGGTAGCTGGTGACTAACAATAGGTTTATACGCCATTTGTTTCCTTCAGGATCCTGAAGCGCATGTGCACCATTGGTTTGGAATCAGGGTTTTCCAACTCCCCCCAAATGGATCCTGCGTAAAATTCAATAACTTGTATTCTCCATGAATAATAGTGTAGATTATGATGGAAATTAAATTTCATAAACATTAAACTGAAACAGTATCAGAACAATAAATCTCCTAATTTACCAAAGTACTTTTTGGTGGAGTTTTGTTCTCTGAGCTGGATGGTTTGGTCGTGGAGCTTTCATCGTTCTTCTGAACGACATCATCAGCACAAACTTCAGATGATGAAAGCTCCACGACCAAACCATCCAGCTCAGAGAACAAAACTCCACCAAAATCATCCACCTGAGCTACAAATCTTCTCCACCATTACCAAAGTACTTCCAATCGATCAATTTGTTTAATAAAAGTAATCAAGTCTTCTTATTAATGATATAATTACATCATATATAGAATGTAAATGAACTTACGTTCGAACACGAAGATAAGGAAAAATATTGCACAAAATATTGTTTAAAAATGTTGTTACACGATCTTTTTCATCACTTTTATACACTAAATCCAAAAATATAGCCATATTCTGTGTAAGTTTTAAAAGAGACCAACGTGCGCCAATCCCCACCCCCCGCCACAAAGGTTGGAAAGAATTAAAACAAAGAAGCAATCATGAAATGATGCAAATTTCAAATCAGACCATAAAATAGTAAAACTGAATATGACTAAGAGATGTCTTGAAAAGGTAACACTAACTGTCCTCCCTTACCATAGTAATTACCTGGCTGAGATCTTCATCGTATGTAACTGGAACTCAATTTTTAACAATGGAGGGCGTTCAATATTATACAACTTGTATTTATATACTGAACCGGTGAATATCTGTTAGATTCTAAAAGTTACTTTTGCCTAACCGAGTAACAGGAACGAGGAACATGAAAGTCGACAGTGCATATCGTTCACAACTGGACGATTTCATGCAGTTGGTTTCTTTGATAAACTTTTGTAAAGCGACAATAATGAATTACAATTGTAAAAGGTTTCATTGATTTGCACAAATCACTGAGTGTATGAATGAGTAAATGGAATGAAATGAGTTCACTTCATTCTACAATGTTCGTTATTCTTGTTTAACAAAATATTGGACAAATCTAAGAGATATTGGCGGAGTTCCAGTTATAGACTATGAAAGTTATTTGTCAATATGTGAATATGTTTTAAAAAAAAACCTGACGACTTTGTGTTTGACTTATTGTCCAGTTATCGTAGGTGTTTTGGAAGTAAAACCAATCTAGTGCTCTCTCATACTCCAATAGTTTCTCAGTAACAGGTTAATTCACAATGAGAAATAAACTGTAGGTCAGTAGGATTATTTTCGCTTGCATTTCACATCATTCTTTTATGAGTTTAAATCTGTACAAAGATATCCGAAAAACGTAAATTATTTCACGTAACTCATATTACCTAGAGAATCAGTTAAGTGATTGTGAAGATACGCGACTTGAGAAAAGAATTGGAATTGTACTGAGTTCTCTACAGTGGATCATTCATAGACGTAGTGTACACATTATCGTTCTTTACAATCAAAGAAGACTACTTTCAATATTCATGAAAATGATCTTTACTACAAAGTTACATGATTAAACCAATGGACTTGAACTAAACAACATTGCTAAAACGACTGTTCACAAAGCTCCATTTTTTCATTCGTATGACAGTATGACGGTTATCCTTTAATCAGGAATTAATACCAACAACATCTGATTCTGAAAATTGCTTACTCTTACACACACACACACACACACACGCATTTATATAGATGATGAATAAAAGTAAAATAAATAGGATTGATATGGAAAAACAAAAACAGGTTAAGATTGGTTTCTTATTTCACAAACAAAACTACATCTGTTAACAGAGAAGTCCGACTCACTGCCTTATCGCACCACCGGTGTTCTTCACGAAATTGAGAGGATGAAAACCGAATGTACGGTACCGGCTTTAACCGGGTTGGTGAATACGAAGAGTTCACCTAGGGTAGTTGGAAAACCTCAACACCAAACCAATGATGTGCATGGGCTCCAACATCGTGAGGGAACAATAAGCGTATGAACCAATTGTTGGTCACTGGCTACGATGGGACTGACGCTGCTCCAAACCTTGTGGATTAGACCTTTAGGTCAAAGGCTCCGGGTGTGGCGCCCCCCCTAAGAAAACCACCAGCTTCGGTTTGGGCACCCGGGCAGTATCCCAGCCATCACACAAACCGAATGATTTATGTGGTGCATATTTATTTCGTGCCTTATTGTACCAATGATTATATAGTTAAATAAATAAACAAATAAATAATACCTCTGTTAACAACTCAATAGCTTGTATTGTCACATCGCTACGCATACGGATACGTGTTAATTCATTTGACAACAAATTCACGGATGCTAATATTGTGGGAAAACCATACAAAAACAAATATTTATGCATAAAAAAAGACTCAAATGATAAATTAAATAGACGACAATACGTGGAAAAATTTACAATAATTTTAGTATAACGATAAGTAAAACTACGGAAAGTTGAGAGATTTTAATAAACAATCATATTTTTTGAATGATTGGGGTTCAGTATGATATGCAACCGATGGACAGATACAGCGTAAAACAATGCGTGGTGATTAATGTCATGTGTGTCAGGTCTTTCTCAGTGTACATCGAATCCTATCGACCAAGTTGCAATGTGTCCACTAGCCAAATTAACTCGATATTGCGTGCACTATGTTGAGATAAGATGGTGGTTCGAAGTAGTGAACAGGAATCCTTGGATCTACGTTTCGTGCTATTTGGCACTCGTCAGCAAGGTGTACCTGTAATCTTGAGGGAACTGACACTCCCTAACGGATTCGAACCCATATCACCCAGTATCACAATCACAGACGTAACCATTGGGCTATCCGGGCCGCGACTGACCTGCTGTAGGACTGAGATGTATTTACAATCGATTGACCACTGAGTGATGGTGATCAATGTCATGTGTGTCAGATTCTTTTCAATGAAGAAGGAATTCTATGGATGATGGAAATGATAACGAACATAGGGATCACAATTTTCTCTTATTGTTTAAAACATTTCATTAAAGCTGAAAATACGTGACATTTGAAAAAAAAAAGTTGTCTTCAATAAATTACTTCCTAAAAAATGGAAGCATCAGGTGGTGAGCAACGACAGATTTAAAAGTAGGGTTCAAGATAGTAAAGATTAGTTGATTGATAAGACTATAAAACCTATACATGATGTAGCCACCGTATACTCAGACGCCCAATACTGGTTGATTTAAGGGTATATTTAGGAAAAAGCCAAGACTAAATGAATCCATTGATTTTGTTGACTGTTAAACTGAAACATGTCATTCAGTCGTAAACAACAGAACATGCTTATATTTCGTATTAAGCGGTTCAATTTATAACAGTTCACTGCCACTGTACACACAAGTTACTGTTAAAAAATGTGTCTTAGAACAATATCTTGGAATCACTTGTTTAGAGTATGGATTATAGGTAGAAGTATTATATGTACATGTGTATGTATGTACTCTTCTTTTTAACTTGTGAAATCTTTCACGTATTAAAATTAATTGACATATTATTAAGCAACCAACTTTTCAAACTAAAAAGCATCCTATACTCATAGGTTGTGCTGTTGTGTTTGTAATAAAGAACACAATTCAATCAGTAAAGTTTTCAATATCTGTGGAAATTGATTTTCATCAGTCTAACTTTAACAAAGATGGATATAACTAGAGACTGTGGAGATTATTCTTGGTTGAAATTATCTCAGTCAGTCAGTCAGTCAGCTACAACGTAGGACCAGGCACATAAGTGCATCGGTCCAGGTTGCCATACCTCATTAGCACAGCAAGATGAACACCGGATTCATAGGAGTGGTTAGGTCAAAGGTTGCAATAAGGATATAGTACAAGAAGAAAGAATTAGTTCGTAGACAGAAAGAATGAAGTGATTTTAGTCTCTTAGTTTAAGGGAAGACAGGGAGTGTATACACCGACGCCATTGTGATCGATTCTGAGCCATGTCACCAAGAGTCTCCAACCATTGGTTACGAAAGTCACGTGGACCCCAACCAAGTAGTCTGCATCTACCAACATGGCTCAGACTAGAAGTTAGTGACTTCAGGCACTGATGCCACGTTTTGGTTTGGCCGCCCCTAACTTTCTTCCAACCATCCCCTACCCCGGTTAGCATTGCACGTCGTGGTAATCGGTGTTCAGGCATACGTAATACGTGGCCCAACCATCTCAGTCGATGAAGATTCACAACCTCATCAACTGATTTACCATCATTCCCTAATACCCTGCGTCTAACCTCACTATTACTTACCCGGTGATCCCAGCAGATGCCAGCAATATTTCTGAGGCATCTGTGGTCAAATACTAGTAGCTTACGGGTGTCTTCTACTCTTAATGGCCATGTTTCGCTGCCGTAAATTAAAACAAAACGAACTGCCGCGCAGTATACTCGTCCTTTTATTGATAGACGGATATCTCGCCTTCGCCAAAGGTGACGTAAGTTGGCAAAAGCCAAACGAGCTTTTCGAATCCGTGCTGAGATTTCGTCAGACACCAACCCATTAGGGCTGATCAGCACTCAGCAAAACACGTGAATTCGACATTTTACTCTTGGATTTTCCGAAATACCTGTTAACTAAAAAGCTTACTTCAAGTAGCGTGGGGCATCAGTTATAATAACTGTGCTTTTGATTGACACAAGCCCAACTTCATTTTTCCAGGTTCATCATTGGCTACCGTGCCCCATTGGATATATTGGAAGCAATATAAGTCGAAATGAATTACATTTACGCTCACATAAGCACAGGTTTTCAAACATTGTTTCTACGAAAACAAGAACTACAGATGATTTAGATTAGTCTAAAACTGTTAGGGACGTTAGATCCTCAGAAGTCTATTGGAAAAGGACTTAATTTTGTAATTTTATTTAGTAAATTTGAACTTCTTTGTTTTCGCGCCAAAGGTGCTGTTTTCAACTTCATGTTGTATTTCCCATTTGGGAGAATCGTAAATGCTATTGGTCCGTTGTGTCTTTTAGTATGCTATTTTGTAACTCTTCTTAAGGACGGTTTTGTGCTGTATGTATATGTTTTGATGTGTTTTTTGTTATCGCTCTTTTCTGCCTGTTTGCGGAATATACTTCCCCATTCCAAGCTTGGACTTCTTTCTCTAGTTAGCGGGGCTGGGACGCATCGAATAGCTAGCTTATTGGATTTTGGTCACCGAGTCTCTGTTCCGTTCGCAGTCTAAGTGAACTCGTAACCGCTTCAAACTTAGCAAAAACTTAAACTAATGAAATATCAACTAGCGAATAATCAGTTTCAACCTGAATACCAAATAACTTCTGTAGATTAACTAAAATGTTACTCTAAATGATGTCCATCCCATCTACCAACTAATTCGAGAACACTAATGATGATAAATGTGAGATTATTTTCTTTCTTTATACATTTCACACATGCGGAATACCGTTTTGTCTATTATCACAGTTTCATTTAATCTAGAATAATTAAACCAATACTTAAACACAAACAAACAAACAAATAATGTTACTATCTTACAATGCCGTGATTTTGAATAACATGATGAAGGCAATGGTATTGACATTGATTTATCATATAAATCTTTTATAGTAGATTGCTCTACATCATTCAATACATCACTTGCATTGTTAAGTTGTCCAATAGAATGTGAATTTGCTAAATCTGATGATCCATTTCCTAGTCGATCAGATTTATTAATCGATTCAAAAACATCTGATCCTGAAAGCGATGTACGATCAGTTAGATCGATCGAATTTAAAGGTTGGGAATATGTAAATGAATTGGTCAAATCACCATCGAGTTGACGAACTTGTAAAGTTTTACGAAACCATGATGGTTGATGCAAGGCAGATGCAGCAATAGAAGCTGTCGTTTCAAGTAATCGATGACATAATTCCTGAATAAGAAAATAAAGAAATTAATCGAAAAAATTAAGAGTAAAATAGCGCCTTCATCACTTTCAGTTGATTTTAAAAACTTATCAGCCCGAAGATTAAAACTCGAATACCAAAAAAATGAAGAAAACATTCATAAATGTGACTAGAACTTTGATACCAATCATATGTTTACAAAATCCATTGTTTCAATGCCTTATAATGATATATACTACTAAATGATCGTTCTTCATAAATAATCCAAGGGTCTGAAGTGGTCAGTACCACCAGTTGGGAAATATCGAAAATGTATGTTGATTACGCCTAAACAATTGATAGTTAATTAGTGAGTAAAGCAAACAACGAACTATCTGCATGGAAGGTTACTTAATTAAATGTTAAATAATAATTAAGAACGAAGTATGAACAACATACCTGTAACTCTTTTTGTTCTCGTTTATCATCGCTAAAATTAGCTGTTTCTAAAAGTTTGCTGAAGATTCTACAAAAAAAAAAACGAGATCAATACAAATATCACTTATCGATAACAGTACTCATTTCATTTACACATCCAGGTGCTATAAATGAAACATTCAAGATGATTTTATCAAGAGATTGACTCAAACAATGTAGCCATAAGGTTTAGAAGTTTGAAAAAATATTTTCAATGAGAATGAAACTTAAAAACACTATTGTAAAATCAAAGAATTATGGCCATGGTAACCGTGTATCGTATGGTATAATTACGAGGCTGAGAAAATGCTTATGTACTCTTTAAACTACTACTTATTAAAAAGTAGTATAACATGACATACAAAAAACTAAAGAGGCATTGAACTTGTCAAGCAATATTCAAATATATCTTTTAAAATACATTCAAGTATGCTGAAAATGCAGGAAGTATTCTTATGGATATTCTAGAATTCACGAAAAATTACTTGTTCCAAACACATATAGCTTTTCAACTTTAAACGAAACAAGAACATAGATTTAAGCAGAATTACATGAATTCATTTTTATTTTGTTACGTTTTCGTTGACTGTTTATAAACTGTAATGTTTCAATATTTTTTTTCAATTCCGATTTTTGAAGACTACACTCTGTAGGCGACTGACAAGAACAAAAACTGAATTGATGTTATTCAACTGTGATCAATTGTTGAAGAGTTGAATTAACATCCCTGATAGTCGGTAGAAGTGATGTTTTGGTGTGTGCTACATATACGGACAGATATAAGTAGTGTGTATCAAAAATTAAAGTAGGATTGTTACAGACGGAAGAGAAATAGAAACATGATTATTTGGTATAGCAACAGGAATGGAAGAATGATGGATTTTATGAGATACACATCGAGGAAGATATGGGAATGGTGTATTCGATGTATTGTTTTCAGATTTTACAAATGTAGTGTATAATTTTGCATAAATCTCTCATCATTACATTTTCTCGAACCCAATCTTCCACATTCACTTCATTACCAAGTCTTGGAAATCATTACTGATCCGATTCCATTCCCTATTCAGGTTATTGATTGCATCTCATAAATATTAATGTACTGTAGTAGATTAAAACGTTGGGTAGATGTGTCAGTTACTATGTTGTTTTTTGACTGAATAATAGGATATTTCATGTATCACTAATATAGATCAAAAATACACTATTTAATGAAAGTGACTGCAATTTTCGAATAATAATGTTAACAGTAAAACTATGAATAAACAGACCGAGATGAAAAGATGATGTTGACTGAGCATCTCATAAAAAAAGAGTAAAGATCACTTGGTGTCATTTGCTTGTATCTCCCCATTGTTGTTTAGGACTGTCTCTTGTTTACAGGTACATCTAGCTGACGAGTCCCAAATAGAACGAAACACGCGTCGAACTGAATTCCATTGTAGACTACTAACAATACAGGATGCACATATCCCAATAAAAGACTAATCAATTGCAGTCCTAAACAACAATACCAAGTGAATTTATACTTCACTCCATTGAATAAGCAAGTGGATATCAACACTCAGTAACTAAGTGGATAACACGATGGCATTTGAAGTGATCGGTACTAGATTGGAGTCCTAAAGTAAACATCAACTTTGAGATACAGATACATCCCCGATTGACGAGTCTTAAATAGAACGAAACACACGTCCACTACTAGCCGATATCCATCTTTGTTTCTAACAATTTCACCATCAACACAAAATAAGTAGTAGCAACAAAAAAACACAACTTAATACAATAAATTTAACATACTTGATAAGAATGAATATTCCTGCTGGTGAAAGACCCAATGTAGTACTACTACTACTATTAGTATTAGTAGTATTAGTCGTACTGGTTGTTGTTGTTGATGTTGTTGTTGTTGTTATATTCATTAAATTTATATTATTATAATTAATTATTGTTGGTAAATTAATTAAATCACGTATTAATATTAATAATAAATCAGATGATATAAAATCTGGTTTCATAATAAGCCATGCATAAAATAAATGTAATAAATTCGTTTGTAAACGTATTAAATTTACTCCAGTATTTGTATTTGACTAAATGAAGAAAAAGGTAAATAAATAGAAAACAAAAACAAGAAAATTAATAAGAATAAAGAAAAAATAATAATAATAAACAAAGAAAATCAATATTCATTCTTATCCATTGAATGCTACTTGTTACATTTGGTCGTCGCTGAATGTTATGTCGGAAACTCTTATCACTTATACTCGAAACAAGGGACATATGTAGTTCCCACGACATGAAAGTAAGAACACAAAGGTTGGTATAAGTGAATATTAATTACACAGATTGAGATCATGAGTCAATTGAAGCTAGACCACCATGGAAAATCTGGAAGCACTGGACAGCCGTTTCGTCCTAGTATGGGTGGATGCGCACTGCTGAGGAGTCCCATAATAGAAAGAAACGGCCGTCCAGTGATTCCAGGTTTTCCATGGTGGTCTGGCTTCAATTGACTCATGATTTCAATCTGTGAAATTTTTAAACATCTCCACAAACCCCTTCTGAGAATATTAATTAACCTCAAAAAACACGACGATGACGACCTTAGTCGAAAAACACACTCATTTATATATTGATTGTATATACAATTTGATTAATAATGAGGATGAAATTACATATATGAAAAATGCTCAGTTATAACAAATCACATATAGAGCATAGTTTACGTCAATCGAATACAAGAATATCTTATATTATACGAGAAAAAAAAGGAAATTGGATTAGAGGTGGTCTTAGTGAACTGAGAGCGTGACCGCAGTGCCCAAAGGACAACTGCTTGAGGTCGATCACACACGACCTTTCTATGGGTAATTTTTATGCTGGCTCCGTACTTGTTGAGACCTTAGCGCCGGAGACCCATATCCGTGGGATAAGGCGAGGTGTGCATTTTTAGGGTCGACCTTTTCTAATCCCACCACTCCTTGTGGGAAGGCAGCATCGCTGTCATGTTGGTTGTCTGAAGGAAACACCTTACTCCTGTCACACATCTGTACAGTCAGCAGTACGACTTCGACTTCGGACCTTAGGTTTGTTGCTTTTAGTCTTACCGCTCTTCAACCGACCTGTCTGACATGGTAGGACCTTGAGGAATGGTTGTTCCAGCCAGTATAGCTCGGTTGCTTCATCACGATAGGCAAGCGCAACCACCACGTCAAGGTAGCAACAACGGTCGGGATTATACGAGAAAAGAAAACAATTACTACACTGAATAATCATTACATTGAATCATAACGGAGGTAATTTTGAACAAAACTCATAACGAGTAAATCAAATCGAATTTCAACTTTTCTTTCCATCATATCAATTCAAGTGTAGTGAACGAGAACACACAAGTGAGAACAAACGAATGTAATTGAATACAAAATTATAAAACGCCTTAATGAAATTTAAGAACCATTACAGTAAATAGTTTGCAAACAGTCAATTAATTGTCTTAAACTTGACTATTCCTTTTGTAAATATCCGTCCATCATCTCAGATTTGATTGTTCCTGCATTTTCATACGAATTACTTTCTGTTTCCACTCTTTCCTTCTCGACCATCTGCTGCCAGACATTCTAATACTGACTATCATCATTATATACTACTTATGTGGATATAAGTATCTCACACCACACAATCTTTACAAGACTATGTAGAACTTCTTTCTTATTTTTAAGAAAATAATGTTAATTACTGCAGATAAATAACACAACTTTTATTGTTGGTAGACAGATATCTTGCCTAGGTCATAAATGAACTTAGGGTATATTTAGCATTTGATTCATGAGGATTCAACAATACTACCTCACTAATAAATGGCTGGAAAAAGAAGTAGCCATGACTCCATAGGAGGTACAATGATAGAGAACTAAGTCAACAGCGGTTATTTAATTCAATCAGATTCATCATCAGTCTTTAGCTGTCAAAATCATTTCTATAATTTGAATATGATCATAGACAAGACAAATCATAATTATCAGCTGAGATCATATCCGGAAAATAAGAAAAACACGATTGATTCCCCCAAATGTCCGAGAGTGGGGAAAGTCAACTCTCTCTCTCTCGAAATACTCCCACATTGTCACGTGCATGCAACCGCTAACAGGAAAATTCTAAACACTGCCTTCTCACGTCACTAGTATTCATCACGAAATTGAGAGGACGAGAACTGAATGTCCGGCACTGGCTTTAACCGGGTTGGTGGACACGGACAATCAATCTAGGGGAGTTGGAAAACCCTGATTCAAAACCAATGGTGTACATGGGTTCCAGTATCGTGAAGCAACAAATGGTGTTGGTCATCGGCTACCATGAGACTGACGCTGCTCCATTGCCTTGTTGATCAGACCTATAGGTCAAAGGCTCCGCGTGTGCCCCCCCAACAAAACCATTCGCTTCGATTTGGGCACCCAAACAGTATCCCAGCGCTCACACAAATCCAATGATCTATTTAATGCATTCTGGTACCTATGTTTATAATGTTTAAATAAACATTCATTCAAATAGGAAAGTAATATCAATATGTATCATTTACAATACTAATTATTACTTTATATCCATTTGTTATTAATGATGTATTCATTTCTTGTAATGGTGAATATGAATTCATTAATGATGATGATAATGAAGTGAAATTATATTGTAATTGAATAGTATTAATAATTGGTAATAAAAATGAATTATTCAATGGACGACGTAGAATATCACGTAAATGATTAATTAATATTGTAGATGATAATATAGAACCATAATGTTTATCATCATAAGTTTGACCACTAATTAAATCTAATAAACTATATTGTTTATGATGTAATGGAATGGAGTAAATTTCTAGTAAAAAAAAGAGAGAGAAAATAGAGAAAGAGAAAAGAAATGTAAATAATTCAAAAGCTTGTTTCTATCAATGAAGTATAATCAGTCAGTCAGTCAGTCAGAATGGGTTTTGTGGAGATTTCAATTGTTGAAATCATGAGTCAATTGAAACTAGACTATCATGGAAAACTTGGAAGCACTGGACGGCCGTTTCGTCCCAGTATGGGACTCCTCAGCAATGATCATCCACGATCCTGCACCCCGAGGTATTCGAACCCAGGACCTATCATAAAGATGACAAATATAATTATGTAACTATGCTTGAAGTCCGTAAAAATCGATTGTTTTTTTCTCTTTCTACTGAAAGATATAGATTCAACAAACGATCCAGTATAAATGTATATCAATCTAAGCTATCATATTTGATATGAATATAAAGAGAGAGATTACGTAATTGAAATAATATCAATAGAATGAATATATATTTTGATAGATGCTTAGTTGATTTCGTATAATGTCGAATAATGATTTCAATCATAGATTATAATTATCTATCTGATTCTAACATAAAGTTAGTACCTTCTAAAATGATTAGGAGCAATAATTCATGTCTTTATCAGTTGGGTACAATTACCTGTACAAGACACAAATCAAGGTTTTCTTAATTTTCCATAGCAGTATTGTATCTTACAACGAATCCATTATTACGGTTTTAGAATATCATCACGTGTAACTCTGTCGTTGAATAGGAAAATCCTCTAATGGATTTGAGACTAATTATACATTACATTCTACATATACATACATAAAGAACACTTACCTGAAGTACCATTATCTCTTTTTGTTCTTATAGGTATAAGCATATCCAATGGGCCATAGTTTATTAGTGAATCGAATCCAGCAAGTAGACCACCAGTTTCAATATCAAAAGTTGTATTTGGCCAAGCTACAGCGGTTGTTACCAATAAGAGATCTGGATGTTGTGTTGCGATAGGCTTTAATAGTCGACGAATAGCGCCACGAACAAGAGTAGCTGAACCAAGGCTAATTAATGAAGATAAACTTTCAGAAGGAATAGGTGAGTTTAACAACGACCAATGTTCTTTATCTGAAAAGTATATAAAATGAAAAGTTTGAGAATACCATTATATGGTTGAAATAATCAGCGATAGTTAACTTCTATCTGACCACCTGATGAGTTTAGTTGATGAGCTAAGATTTATTCATACATATAGGTAACAGGAGAATAAATTATCTCCGTTTTACTATATCATACTTCTGAGTTCTTCCTTAGTTGGCTTAGATCCACACTTTGTGTTTACAGCACGATACTACTTACTAATATTCAGTAGTTCAATCTATACTGAAACAAAATAAGAACGCCGATGACCTCAGAATATAATTTCGGTAATAGTGTTTGGTTGATTTTCTTTTAGCTGCACACAAGCTAAATATATTTAATTAGTTCCAATTATTGAAACAATATTGAAGACTGAATTGTCAGACAATAAAAAACAAGTTCTGAGTAATGTAAAGGAAGCTAACAGTTGAAGCTTTAGCAGTTCTTTTCATAAAAATCACTTGAGGTAGAATATAAAGTTCTAGAACTTTACTAATTAATCTGAAAGAATATTCTTGGAAGTTAAAAAAAGAGAAAAGAGTACATGTGAGTTGAATTTAACAGATTTTGATTACAATGAAATATTACCAAGGCATTTGAAGATGATTTACTGATTCTTCTTCAATACGAAGATCAGACTCACTCCTACTAACCGTTATGCTTTCTGTAAATTTTAACAAAGTGGAATGTAACTGTTTATTAAAAACCTAAAATGAATTCATTGCCCTTGTATCCAGTAGGTGGTATGCTATTAACCCACGCAGTTAATTATCTTTTTTGTTTTGTTTTGGAATACGCTTATTCAAACAAGAAAATTGAACCATACTCATGCCTTAGCGTTGTAACCAATCACATTGTACATATATATAATGAATAAACAAGCAAAAAAACAAACAAATAATATAACTATTGAATATATCTTTCACCTGGATAACGACTAGTCATTGTACAAGTAGATTTGTAGAAGTTTCCTTTATGTAATTGACAAAATGGTGATTGATTAACAGTATTCCAAAGGAATGCTATACTTGAAATAATATCAGGCATTAAACGTAATACCTCCAATTGAGCTTGAACAAAAGGATGCAATTCAGGATTTAATACATCATCTTTAATATTGACATTTTTAGAATTCTAAAATAAGATGAACAAAAATTGTGAATAGATAATGAACAGAATGAGCAATTGAAAAAGTAAAATTAGAAAAAACAAAACATTACGATTATTTAATTGACAGGTCGTTCAAAAACTGATTGACTTCAAATCGGCAGACAGTATTCAAATTGTTGGTAGAACCATGAACTTGGTATGAAAGGTTATATAGATTCATTTCATGATAAAGTTAAAAGTATGCACTGATGACGAGTTCCACACTACCATTAAACGACTAATCAGTAGTATCTATTTATCAATGATTGGCTAGATAAAAATCAGTCTTTGAAGTCTATTACAAATAATATATTTAATACTGAATTGACAAGTCTCTGTTTGCATATCCAATCCTAGACTAACTAATAGTAGGTTAGTAGTATTCGATTAATGGTATCTTCGAAGTATCGCTCGTGTGTTTTGGGACCACAAATTAAGCAGTGGATTGGGTTAGCATTTGAGTACTAGGTTACGATGGGAAATCGATTGAAGAGGTAGTAAATCTTCACTAACTGTGGTGATTCAGATATCAATGATATGTACTCCTCTACCTTTCACTTCAACGGGTAACGTCTGATGTAGGAGTAGTCTGGGATAAATCAGTGACAGTCAAACCAAAACACAACACCAGTATATGAATTCATTGACAATTAGACTGAGTCATGTTAGTCGGTATAGATGACTACTAATGGTTAGACTTAAATGATATGGCTCAAAATCGTTTACAGTGACACAGGCACATACGCCCTTTCCTTCAATTCTGAGATTCTAAATTCCTAATAACCTACTTTTGTTTTTTATTTCACGAATTTATATTTTCTTCTCGAATCGCACCTTCGATACCTAATCGTTCCTATTACCATTGATACGTCTAATGTTGTGGGATTTGTTCTGACAATGTCATTTATCTGTGCTAATAAGGTCTGATAACTTGAACCGATGTACATACGTACCGGGTTCTATGTTGTAAGCGACTAATTGATCTTGAAAGAATAACTTATTGTTGAATAGTAGTAAAATATGCAACGTACACTTCATTTTTATGTATATTTTTTACTGGGTTCCTACTAAGATGTTGACAGACTGTATATTAGCCAAAATGTTACATCATAATTCGCTAAGTTCTTAAATCATAAAACATGAGTCTTGGATCATGTTCATAATCACAATTAAATAGTAATAATAATAATAAAGCTATAAGGAATATTGGAGAATTAGTTCAAAGTTTATATATACCAAAAGAAACTGATCAGCTTTGAATGTAAACAAACATAAAGCATTACGAATAATACTTAGATTTCAGATTTAAGCTGTAGTAAATTATAATGTTCCGGACCCAACACATTTCTTACAATCTGTATATATATAATGGCAAAACGAATCAGCCAACTGATTTCTCTATAATGGACATCAGTTTTAACATTCAAAAACCCTATTCGAACTGAATGACCGTTTATAAGGCGAAAATGGAAGTATCAAAGCTTCGAAATCGTCTATAAAGCTTCTGTTTAAGTAGCCGGGCAGTATCACAGCCTACATAAAAACCAAATGTGGCACATATGTATTCGGTGCCCGTTTGTAACAATAGTTATGTGTTCAAATAAATAAAACATTCTTGTCACTGAGGAACAAAAGTACTCTTAATGCAAATACGTTTTATACATAAAAAATAATCAAACTATTCAAACTCAATCAATAAATCACCACATCATTTGAGAAAATGACAATCAATACGACAAACAGTAATCTAAATAATGAGATAAAAGAAGTAACTGTTCTACTAACTTTTGCACGATTCAAAAATATTACAGTAGAACTTGGAGAATGAACTGACATTTCTGTCGTCTCCAGCTTATCATCTCCTATTCCAGAAGTTAAAATGACAGATGGTTCCAAATTTGAAACATTGTCCACAGATGGATTATTCGTATTTGAACAATGGTCAACATTCTCTGTTAGAGGCGATGGGAACAAAGGATCAAACGCTGGTACAGTATTATTAACTTCTGGTATAGGTCCACTTGGATTTGGTGGATTCAATTTGTGATGATAAAGAATTTCAGCAATTTCCAAAGCACCTTCTATTGAATCTGGGAGACCAGTTAATTGACTAACAGTTGGTTGATTACCACCACGTAATGATGCACTAGTTTGTTGCAATGAATTCACTTTTCGAGATGACATAAGCGGTAAAGAGGCATTGCCAACTGACAGAAGGAACGCATGACAAATACCTTGAATTAAAGCTAATACAGTTAATGTATAGTCTGGTGGTAAAAGCTCCCATTCATTTGTATTTGATAATCGTGATCTTCTATGAGAATAGAGAGAAAAAAAATAAAATACATAGTGGTTGCACCAAAGGGAGCAACATGTATGATTACATTCAGGTAATAAATTCATCTTACAGTGAACAGATGTCACTTTGTAACTGCACAACTAGTTCAATTAACTATAATCTAATGTACTTTACTGACATTCGTCATCTTACATTCTAATGAAAGAAAGGGTAAATTGTCATGTACAGAATAACCGTATAGTCTTCTTATTTCATATTCATTTATTTGTGATCTGAGATACGTATAGATTATTATTATTATTATTATTATTATTATTATTATTATTATTATTATATCTTCATTAAAAATGAATTTAGAAAACAAGTTCATTTCATGGATGCAAGTGTGAATCAGTTCACTAAGATGATGATACCATCAGCAACAGCCTTTTGTGGGAGAGAACAAACCAGCTTCCAGCTGAAGAAGAAATTAGGAAAAGACGATGGGAATGGATAAGACATACATTACGCAAATCATCAAAATGCATCACGAGGCAAGCCCTAACTTGGAATCTTGAAGGGAAGCGGAAAAGAGGAAGGCTAAAGAACATATTACGTCGGATAATAAAAGCAGATATGAAAAGGATGAATAGGAACTGGAAGAAGCTGGAAAGGATTGCCCAAGACAGGGTTGGATGGAGAATGCTGGTGAGCGGCCTATGCTCTTTCACGAGGAGTAACAGGCGTAATTAAGTAAGTAAGATAATGATCATTCAGTTTACATGTTGTATCTTGTATACCACACGATGCTTGAACCATTGAGTTACTATTTGAATAATAAGCATGTCAGATGATTGAAAAAAGTCATTAAAAAACATTCTAAAGCGAAGTTTCATGTTAGTTAGAACTCAGTCTTGTACAGTATATCCTATAATTCATCTACAAACATCTAATATAATATGATGTACACAATATCGATTCACTTAAACCAATGACCACATTGTAACTTGATCAATAGAATTCGATCAACAATAAACGACTAAACAAATATAACAATGGGCTATTCACTTAGTAACTAATCAAATATACATACATAAGTATCTGGACAAACCATCTTCAAGAAAACATACAACTCACCTAATATTATTATTACAACGTGTTTGTATATTCTGACAAACACGATCACATAGTTTATTTAAACTTGAACATATTTGTTTAATAGTAACACGTATTAATGATCCAATAAACCAACCCCAATAAGATAAACTTTTAAATATAAAACAATACCATAATGGATGTAAATCTAAACGAGCTAAGAAAAAACTTGAATAATTAGGTGTATTATTATCATTCGATAATGATGATGATGATGATAATGGTGATGATAATCCAATCGATAATAATTCAATGAATAAATTCAATTGATCTTTTTCAATACATGAAGAAGTTTTAATCGAATTAGATGACCAACATAATGTTGTTATACAATTGATATGAAATAATGATTGATGATTTAATGTATTTGGTAATTGATTACAAGCGATTGACCAAATATCAGTGATATAATGAGTTAATAAATCATAACTTGTTAATTCATTATCTAATAGTAATATATTTGGACATACTGGCCATAATAAACTACTATTATTATTAGTAGTAGTATTAGTAGTATTACATAATTCTGTTGATGTTTGACAATTTTGTTGTAATACATAATGATATTTCATTAAAGACATACGATCAGAATAACCATACCATGGTTTTAAATGAAGAATAACATTGAATAGTTTTAATAAGGTTTGTAATTGTGTAGTTTGAAATGAATTCGACAAATTTGATAATTGATCATTGACAAGTATTAATTGTAAACATGTTGGAAGTTTTCTGTGTAAAAAAAAGAGGATAAATTTAAAAACATAAATATAGTTGAAAGGGAATAAAGACAGGAGATGTTTTGTTTTACATTTAGTAATAATAATGAACAACATGAGGTACGACAATAACATTTCAGGGATATAGAACCGCTTAATGCCCTGGTACGACCGAGAGTGGAGAGAGACAACTCTCCTTCTTAGAATGCTTTAACAGAGTCACGTGTGTACAGCCACTGCCAGGGAAGTCCTGCTCACTGCCTTATTGCGCCACGAGTGTTGTTTACAAAATTGAGAGGACGAAAACCCAATGTTCGGCATTGGCTTTAACCGGGTTGGTGGATATAGAGAATCCACCTAGGGAAGTTGGAAAACCCTGATTTCAAAGTGATGATGCACAAGGACTCCAGGATCTCAGGAGAACAAATGACGTATGAAACAATTGTTGATCACTGGCAACCATGGAAATGCATCTCCTAAAGTTGCTCCACTGCCTTGTTGACCAGACCTTTATGTTAAAGGTTCCGGGTGTGGCCCCCTAAGAATCCTACCTGATTCGGTTTGGGCACCCGGGCAGTATCCCAGATCTCACATAAATCGAATGATTTATGTGGTGCCTATGTATTGCATGCCTCCTCGTACCAATGTTTAAGTGTTTAAATAAAATAATTTTTAAACCTTGACTAATTGATTGAAATCCGTTCTAAACAAATCATTTAAATAGATGACCATCAGGTATGCTTACGTAATCTAACATACCAAAACAATTAAGGATATATGACAGAACTAAAATAGAGTGATGTTGAATAAACGAAATACTAGTACTTCTGTAATGGGGAAGACCAATTTATTGTTTATTGCAAAATTACAGTGGCTTCGTAAATTCTGAAAACCATACATTAAATACGTCATTTGTACATTTTCCATCAGTTGTCCTTTACATTCTTCATGATTCTTCCAATTTTGTTTTTATTCCGACTCATGACTGTTCTTTTCAGTTTAATCTTCTTAACCTTCTTGCTAGGTTTGAAGCGATTGCCAGTTCATTTAGTCTGAGAACGGAACAAAGACTTGTGACCAAAGACCAATAGCGTTTAAAATTCTTTCAAGTGGGAAATAGGACATGAAGGTGAAAAGAGCACTTTTGGCGCGAAAACAAAGAAATCCGAATTTTCAAAATAAAATTACAAAAATAAGGTACTTATCAAGTGAGTTCTGGGGATCTAACATCCCCAACACTTCTTTAGACGAGCATTCCATTTCTGAATGGTATTACATAAAATTTACATATGTCAACATAAATAGCATACATCATACTTCACCCAATCAGCAATACTATGAGTGGTACCTATGAAAACATCTAAACATTTTTAGACTGTAGTCAAAATGGCAATAAAAGAGTACTGGAATCCAAACTTTCTAGAGCTTAGTGGACATTAAATTAAATTTTTAACATTACTCTAATATGCAACTATTTGAAACTTAGAAAATTAATCATACCTGATTCCATTTGATGTTGAATAATCCGACCAGTTTTTATCCGTTTTAGGCCAATGTACTTTTGTAATACAAGAGGCTAAACAATGTAAAACAACAGATGGTATACAAGTATGATGTAAGGTATTTTGTACAAGACGACGTCCATTAGCTTGTTGAATCATAGATGAAAATGTAATTGTATTGGGAGGAACAACGTTTGAATTTGTAGACCCAGTTGAATATACTGAGGATAATTCTGGTATACGTGTAACAGGAGAGGAATTCTTAACATTGGATAAACTGGAATTGGACTTTAAAGCTGAGTTCATCAGTGACGGATTAAAACATTCATCTTGTATCAATACTAATTGCTAAAATATAGAAAAACATTGTATTAAGGTTCCAATGAATTCTAACAATAATACCAACAAAAAAATATTGAACATAACTGTCCCAATTACAGAAGTCAAACATAACTCTAAGAAAAATTTAAACTGGTGATAACAATAATAGAACTTTGAATAACGTGTAATGAATGGTAGGTAGTATCTTAGAGATTAAAACATTTGACCAGTTGATTGCAAGTACAAAATATACTGTCCATTTTCATCGGTTCTATATAAAACTATGATTCAAATCCGAGTAAATCTTTGAGACATAGAACGAGAGATTTATTCAAATGATGTGTATGTTTATCCAATATTGATTGTTTAAAAACTACAAGGGATTATTTTCATCGAATAGGATCAGTTATCAACAACATAACACTTATGAGATAGGTAGATCAATCATATGCCCCCAAATGCCGTGGTATGGCCGAGAGTGAGGTGGGCCCTCCCCCCCTCTTGAAATGCTCTCATATGGCCATGCGTATACAGCCTCTGCCAGGGAAGTCCTACTCACTGCCTTCTCATGGCGGGGGTGTTGTTTATGAAAATGAGAGGACGAAAAGCGAATGTCCAGCGCTTTAACCGGATCTTAAACCAATGGTGCACATGGGCTTCAGTATCCTGCGGGAACAAATGGCCGTTGGTCACCGGCTACCATGGGAATGCATCTCCTTACGATGCTCCACTGCCTTGTGGATCAGACCTTCGGGTCAAAGGCTCGGGGTACAGCCCCCTAAGAAAACCACCTGCTTCGGTCTGGGCACCCGGGCAGTATCACAGCCCACACACACAAATATGGTGTGGCGCATATATATTTGTTGCCCTCTTCTACCAATATTCATGTATTAAAATAAATAAATAAATAGATCAATTATGTTCAGTTAGCAATATAAACTATCACAAAATATTACACTAATCTAGAATTTCAATCAACTTACTTCAACAATCAATGTTAAAATCTCTGCAGCTGTATTCTGTACATATTGATTAGCACGAAATTCACTTTTAGAATAACCGAAACGATGACCAAATTTAATGGAACATTTATTCATGTTATTCATAGATGAATTAGTACAATTGCGATCATCCTCCTCCTCCTCATCCTCATCATCATCATCAATAGTAGTATTGATAGTTGATATTGTTTTCATTGTAATAAAAGGTAAATAACTACACATATATTGTAAACATAAATCAATAATTAATTCCAATAAATTTGTATAATTTTGTTGTGATTGACTTAATTCTTCTGAATTGACAGTAGAAAAAAAATTACAACCAGCCATAGAACGACGATGTCTTGATAAAAGTTCAATAAATTTTAAACCATATAAATTAAAACTAAACATTGAATTGATTGTACATGATGCAAGTGAACGAACAAATAAAGTAGGAGCTATAGATAGAATTGTTCGAAGACGAGAGAAAGCATAAATCACCTGAAATAGATAGAATAATAGAAGCTAACGATGAACATGTTAAGAATAAATATTTGAAAAAAAATACTTTCCTTGAGTAGAATAGAACCCCAACGATATCTACACACGAATGGCTCTATGAACACTGTATATTCCAAAAATGTATTTCATTCATTCATTCATGAAATCATCGTTTTAAATTACCGTTTACAGAAAGCATGAAAATGTTACAGTTAACAGGTACCTCTAAATAGGTATCTAATTAATATGAACAATTAAACAAATGAGGTAAAAAGTATTGACCTTGAGTATACGGATGATATTGTCTTACTGTGTGATAATAGCCAAGCTATGCAATCTGCAATTAATCAGTTGGAAATCAGTGTCCGTAGGTACGGTATGTGCTTCGTGCCTTCGAAGTGCAAAGTACTTTTACAAGACTTGCAGGACCCTGATCCTGCACTTACAGTGGGTAGTGAACAGATAGAGGTAGTTGAAAAATTCGTATTTCTGAGTAGCTGCGTAGGTGCTGGTGGTGGCGTGAGTGATGAGATCAATTCACATACAGTGAAAGCCAGAGTGGCTTATGCTAATCTAGACCATCTTTGGCACCTTCATGATGTTAGTCTGGTTGTAAAAGGTCGGATCTACAACGCATCGGTGAAAGCAGTTCAGCTCTATGCTTGTGAAACCTGGTCTCTCCGAGTTGAGGATGTTAGACGACTCTTTGTGTTTGATCATCGTTGTCTCCAAAGCATTGCTGACATACAGTGGTAATACCATGTTAGTAATGCAGAGGTTCGGTATTGTGTGTTCGGGCACAGAGACGATATATCAATCGGTGCCCCCAAACACCAAGATCGGAGAGTGTCAGCTCTCCCTCTCGAAATGCTTTAACATAGCCACGTGCATTAAAACACTGCCACAGAAGTCCTACTCACTGCCTTCTCGCGGCATTAATGTTGTCTACGAATTTGAAAGGACGAAAACCGAATGTTCCGCACTGGCTTTAACAGGATTGATGAATACGGAGAATCCATCTAGGGGGGGTTGGAAAAACCAACTCCAAACCAATGGTGCACATGGGCTCCTGAATGAACAAATGGTGTATGAACCAATTGTTCGTGACCGGCTACCATGGGACTGCATCTCATTACGTTGCTCCACTGCCTTGTGGATCAGACCTTCATGTCGAAGTCTCCGGGTGTGGACCCCTAGGGAAACCATCTGCTTCGGTTTGGTCACCCAGGTAGTATCCCAGCCATCACACAAATCGAATGATTTATGTGGTGCATATCCATTTGGTGCCTCCTTATACCAATGTTTATGTGTATAAATAATTAAATTTTGGAACATCGACTTCGGTAGTTTAGATATGTTCTACGAATGTCGTCCCAAAGAATTCCATGTCGTGCATTATTTGCCGACGCTGGAATTGGTTTGAAAATGCGGAGAGGTGATCAGTGTACGACATGTTGTCGCGGTATGAAAGAAAGCTGTACATGACTGGCTTCGATCGGTCCTTCACAACTCCCTGCTTGGGGTCCTAGAGATGGTGTGACACAGTGGCTGGAGACGTTATCAGGTATGGCTTCGAACAGAAGCCAGTGGTGATCCTGCTGGAACTTTACTTTCTTCGTAAAAAAGGCGTAACTTCTTTAAGTGGAAGAATTCCCTGTGGCTGTACTTAGGCCTGTTACTCCTCGTAAAGGAGCATAGGCCACTCACCAGCATTCTCCATCCAACCCTGTCCTGGGCAATCCTTCCCAGCTCCTTCGAGTCCCTATTCATACTTTTCATATCTGATTCTATTTCTCGAAGTAACGTGTTCTTTGGTCTTCCGCCTTTTAGCTTCCCTTCACGATTCAAAGTTGGGGCTTGCCTCGTGATGCAGTTTGACGATTTGCGTAATGTATGTCCTATCCATTTCCATCGTCTTTTCATAATTTCCTCTTCAGCTGGAAGTTGGTTTGTTCTCTCCCACAGAAGGCTATTGCTGATGGTATCCGGCCAATGGATGTCGAGTATCTTGCGTAGACAGCTATTTATAAATACTTGTACTTTCTTGATTGTGGTTGTTGTAGTTCTCCAAGTTTCAACTTCATACAGTAGAACTGCCTTGACGTTCGTATTGAAGATTCTCACTTTGATATTGGTTGAAAGTTGTTTTGAGTTCTATATGTTCAACAATTGTAGGAATTCTGTCCTTACTTTGCCGATCCTCGCCTTTACGTCTGCATCTGAACCTCCTTGTTCATCGATGATGCATCACAGGTATGTGAAGGACTCTACATCTTCCAGAGTTTCGCCACCAATTGTGATCGGATTAGTGTTCTCCGTGTTGTATTTGAAGACCTTGGTTTTCCCTTTGTGTATGCTGAGGCCTACTGATGCAGAGACTGCTGCTACACTGGCTGTCTTCATCTGCATCTGTTCGTGTGTACGTGATAGGAGGGCTAGGTCATCTGCGAAGTCCAAATCGTCTAATTGATTCTGAGCTGTCCATTGTATTCCGTGTTTTCCTTCAGATGTCGAGGTCTTCATAATCCAGTCGACCACCAGAAGAAAGAGGAAGGGAGAAAGTAAACAGCCTTGTCTGACTCCGGTCCTTACTTGGAATGCATCTGTTAGCTGTCCTCCATGCACTACTTTGCACTGTAGTCCGTCGTATGAGTTCCGGATAATATTGACAACCCTGTGGCTGTACTTTTGCTAATTGACCTGTCTCTCTCATTATTATTATTTACATACCATACACCAAATTTCGTTCATTGTTGTACTTCTTTTTTCTTATACGCACCTTACATTCTTTATCTCTTCACATTCCCATTATTATTGTGTGGTGCATGTGTATCTCATGCCCTTTTGAAACAATATGTGTTCAAATAAATAAATAAATTTCCGAAGAGAAGTAACTACAAGGAGAATTAAACGAAGGAAATGAAATATTGATTCATGTATAATAACGAATTAAAACACAGAACTAAGAGGATAAGAAGGAACTAGGTGATTTTCTGAGAGAAAAAAATATCATCCAGCTACGACATACAGGTAAGATAAATGGTGGGATAAAATTCATACTACTGAGTATAATTAAATAGTATAGCTAGGACAAATAAAAAAAGGCATTGAGAAGACGAGCATACTTCATAAATCAAATGAACTCAATGTATGTACCTATTGAGATGGTGGAGAAAATTTGTAGCTCAGGTGGATGATTTTGGTGGAGTTTTGTTCTCTGAGCTGGATGGTTTGGTCGACCAAACCATCCAGCTCAGAGAACAAAACTCCACCAAAGTATGTACCTATTTTAAATTGTTGTAAATTTGGAAAACTTACTTGGTTGGAATCATAATTTTGTAGATAAACTAACAAATGTTCATTGACAGGTAACATTGAAAGTGTTCTAGAACCTGTTAAAGAAAAAGTTTGTAAAAAAGGTTTTCTCAAACGGTTGTCTTCATTTAATAATTTCTCATCAGAAAAAACAATTAAATCTAAATAAATCACTTAAATTATTCTATTTAAGGATTGCTGTAATTTACATGGTGGAGTATGAAAGAAAAAGATTTTGATCAGAAGAAAACCTAAAGATAAATCATGTTGTGCAGTAGCAGTAGTCTAAGTAAAAGGTTAGTTGAAGTTAGACATTAACACCGTTGGATGCCGACCGGCTCAGTGGTCTAATAGTTAAGCGTTTGCATGAGAGATCGATAGGTCCTGGGTCTGAATCTCGCGATGCGGGATCGTGGGTGTACGTTAATGAGGAGTCTTACAAAAGGACGAAACGACCGTCCAATACTTCCAGGTTTTCCATGGTGGTCTAGCTTTAATTGACTCATGATCTCAACTATTAAAATAAGTCAAAGATCATTGAATATTTCAAAATATTTATCTGGTTGAATTTTAGATTATCCAATATAACTTCGAATAGAAATATTAATAACAAAAGATGATAGAAAGTAAAATCTAATATACATACCATGATGCCAATCTGTTACATAATCTAACAATGAATGATTCTTTTCATCTTTCATTAAACGCATCGATAGGACAGAGTTGAGAACAGCTGAGAAAAGAAAACAAATTAAGTAAACAAACGAAAAAGTGAAAAATAAATCACTGGGACAGAAGTAATGACGCATGAAAAAATCAACTTCACCGATAATACAGCGAATTATTGACCAACCAGCCAAAACCGAAGTACAATTATGTTCACTATTGGATCGACTGATGTGTGTTTATGCCGATAACAAATTGAAATTCGAAGAGTAGGGTAATGGGATTGTAGAACAGTGAGGTAAATTCAAACAATTTATGATCAGTTTGATAGAAGGAAATTCAATTATTGTTATTTTTTAACTGGTTCGATTAACAGTAAAAGATAGTTATTAGATGATTTATACATCACCGACTGACTTAGGATTCACAACATATTTGCCCCTAAGAGGTAAATTATCTTAGACTAAAACAATCACCCTAATAAACTTACTAAACCTTAGCAGTATTTAACAATTATTATCATCCGAGAAATATCAATCAGTCGAATTCAATCCCTGAAATTTGAATACAATACGATATCTCCAACTATTTTATGGAATATCAAGAATTTACGATTGAGCAAAGAAGAAAAGTCGACAACCATTTATTAAAAACAAGCCATTGACTTATTTCATTTCATATTTCAAGAAACTAAGAAACAATGTATCAATCAGTCGGTCACAGAGTAGGACCTGGTACGTATGTACATTGGTTCAAGTTGCCAGACCCTAGTATTAGGACAGAGAGAATAAAATTGTCAGACCGAATCCCACAACACTAGAGGTAGTAACGGTGTCAGCGGGAAGAAAATATAAGTAAAATAAAATATAAAAGTTATCAGGAGTTTAGAATCCCAGAATTCGAGGATAAGAGAAAGAACGCATTTATGTGTCATTGCAAACGATTTTGAGCCACGTCATTTAAATTCTTTACAAATTGGTTGGGAAAATCACATGGACCTCAACCAGGTAATCTTTACCGATTAACGTAACTCAATCTACTTGTCAATGAATTCATGTACTGTTGTCGTGTTTTGGTTTGACTGTCACTGACTTATTCCAGACTACTCCTACATTAGAAGATGTTACCCGTTTAGGTGAAAGGTAGAGGAGTACATATCATTGATGTCTGAATCACCACAGTTAGTGAAGATTTACTACCTCTCTTCAATCGATTTCCCATCGTAACCTAGTACTTAAATGCTAACCCAATCCACTGCTTAATTTGTGGTCCCAAAATACACAAGTGATGCTTCGAAGATACCATTGATCGAATACTACTAACCTACAAATATTCTCTATTATTAATGGCCATGCTTCACAACAATAAATTAGAACTAAACCATCAGGACTGATGAGACTCACAAGATAAGCGAACCGGTCAACACACCCAACTATTTATCACGCTATTGTTAACTCAGACGCTGACGAAAGCCACTCTTGAAGTAACATTTTGCGTTTGGAAGGAGAAAGCAGCACAACAAACACGCTCGCATTGTTGCTGAGATTGTTACAAAATGCTTTCGCTCTTCTTTATAGCCTGGAATGATCAATGGTCGAGACCAGTCAGATGGGATTACGTCCAGTTCCCAGATTTAAGCTAGAATCTTAGTTAATCTAACTGCTAAGACTAGACGAAGAACTTTCCTTGCCGTGGCATTTCTACATCCAGTAAGTCGCAGATAAATATGTGTTCGAACTAGGGTATAATCCGAGCATCAATATGTGCCGTAGAAAGACCGACAGTCATCCTTTTTTAGAAATGAACGTTTATCTAATCATAGTTGCAGCAGACGGTCATCATTATCTGTCTGCTGAGATGCAACAACGCAACATCCGTCTAAGTGCCTTTCGGTTTGGTTTAGCCTACCTAATTAATCATTCAAATCACCCGCCACTATTACTACATCGGAACGTTCAGCTTTTTGATGGAGGTTGGATAGCTTCCTGTAGAATTCATCTTTGATTTCACCCGAGCTGCAGTCAGTGAGAGAACATGCAGAGGAAACGAAAAAACAACAGCGTGTCCCTATCTTTTCGAGTTCTTACTAACCCGTTTAGTCGGACGGCGCACAAGTAACTGTCTACTAGAATCTAGTCTGACAAAGCCTGTTCTGCTTTTGAGCTTAATGCAATACCTACATCAGATATACCACAGGAAGTAGCCATGGGGTCTCCAGATAATTATATTAAAAGCTCCAAAAATGGTTTTAGGAGAAGAGGAATAATAAACAATTTTTACCAGATATCTATCCATTAGTTAGTAGCCAAACAAGAGGACAGATCCTCAAAACAGATTTTACTAGTCAATGCAAATCTACTTTGAAGCAAATGGTATCGTTTATTTTGACTATCGTCACCAAGATAATTATCTGACTGAAAGAAATTTTAGTCAAACGAAGTGGCTGAAAAAAACAATATCATGTTTATTCATTTGCCAATTGCTGAAATTGAAAATGTCATGTTTTTTCTTTGTTGAATACTAACCAATCTATCAGTGATCATCAACAAAGTATGCGGCACGAATATTCATTGACCGAAGTCACCGTCCATCGCATCAGCTCAATAAGATGAAATCAGCAAGGTGTACAATAAACAAATTGTAACAATAGTAATACCTATGACTATGGAAAAGAATAGGCATAGAGAATATAGTTCGCAAACAGGGAATAATTTTCCGGAATACAAAGTATGAAATAATACTACAAATTAGAATCTAAATAACCTTGACCCATGTCATCCAACGTTTTCAACCATAGAATACGACTATTACGTCGATCTGAATTACTGGCATGTACCAGATCAGCGGTAAATGACTATGCTTCTTGTTGTTATTTATCGGTCGACTAAACCCTCGTAAACATTGCACATCAACACAGATCATGATCACTTTTCAATTCTGTTGAAAAATAACCTTGAATTCCGACTAGACTAAAAGCTAAAGTAACAGTTTAAAACTTCACACTATTCTTACAGACAAACAGGAATCTAATAATAAGTAATTGCTAACCTTCAGCAGCTTGTTGTTTAGAAGTATTTAGTTCATTTGTTACTTCTGTTTTATTTAGTAATTCTGTCGTAGAATGAAATCGTTGAAACTTTTCACGGATTGAATTCATTAGATTAAATGGTGTTTCTGTGTGAACAGTGTTAATATGTGGAAACTGAAATAAAGAGAATTTTCATAAAACGATGATAAGACAATGCTTATTGAATAAAGAGTACTTAGTGTATATGAGAATGTTTGTGTTTTCATTGGGGGCTAAGCACAATTTATGTACGACATTCTTATGACGTACATGGTGACAATGTAGTTTGATACTGACCCAAATGAAAAACATACTTATTCTCTATGAAGTAAATATTTCACTGGAAGTCAAATGTAATAATTTGATTAGCTATAATCAAGTAAAAATTAGTAGATACCGATGGAATAGTACTGTGAAAAGACTGAAATGACTATTCCTTTGGTTATAATAAACGTAGAATGAATTTTTGATTGTTCATATGACTATTCAGAATCTGCCATAATTAGAGTTAAATTACAAACAGTTCGACCATAAATATGTTTAAATTTGATAGAGATTAACAGCTTCTCCAACCTTTCAGATAAACCTTGTAGATAAATAGTAACTAACATGATACTCAGGTCCAGGATTTACAATCGTTCACTTCCAACTATCTGGTATCCAAGTAATGCAGGAAGATATAAGAATATCTATACTGATTTAAATGTATCTTATACTCAAATATATACGAAAAATGAACAAGTGTAAATAGTAAAGATGTAACATCATTTATTTTGAATGAAACACTTTTTTTCCAGTTAATAATAAACAGATTTACTTATTCATGATACAGATTTAAATACACAATACATAGAAACTGTTGTGACTTTATGTCCGGCTTTTTTATACGTGATTTATGCACCAATTAAAACACGACTTATACAATCGTATCACTGTGCCAAACCAATGACGTTCGATCGGTATGGGCAGCTTAGTGTCCTTATCGGTCCTATGTCCGTTTAGCCCGTTCACTTGAGTTCAGAACCCAATATCAGTTGCCACTATGAGAATCCAATAATTTATTCCAGACATACTGGGTTTATGTATCTACCAAACAGACCGCAACGCACCATAAAATAGAAAGTAACATGTGTACACAATAAAGCCAAAAAGTGGCTGTGAACGTGGGGGGGGCAGTAGTTAATAAACTGAACACAGCTTAACAACCGTAAATCGTACAATAATAAATTATAGATCAAAGTACAGTTTATAATAAGAGGAATATAAACATACATAATCTAATTATTGAATAGTTATACCATAAGAATATATAGATAATATTTGTCAATTAATATGTCTCAGCAGAAGTTACTCGTGATTTAATCTTCGCTCGGATATAACAGAAACCATGTCCATTGAAGATTAAAATCTTAGCCAATCACAATTAAAGAACAAATACCATCAAGAATTTAGTCAGTAATACGATCAAAGAAAACATCTATAAACTATTTTTCTTTCATATCTAAGATTATCAAGACAAAGAGTGTATACACCTACACCATTGTGATCGATTCTGAGCCATGTCACACAGAGTCTACGACCACTGTTTACGATGGTCACGCGGACCCTGACCGAGTAGTCTGCATCTACCAGCATGGTTCAGACTAGAAGTTAGTGACTTCAAGGACTGATGCCAAGTTTTTGTTTGGCCGCCCCTAACTTTCTTCTAGCATGCAAAGAAAGTCGACTGAATAAACAAAATCAAATACATTTAGTGTAAATAATGAATAATAATATTAAGGTTTCAGATCCGCAATAACATAGTGCTGACTGGACAAAAATATGATAGTATCATCAATCAAACACCATTAAATTTAGATTAGCCTATTTTTTGCTAGAAAGACTTGAAAAGCCATATCCCACCGTACACATGACTTTTTTCTGTTAGGAAACGAAATAAAGTTTTAACCTCTAAAACAATCAAATCAGGACAGTTTTAAAGTAAACACTACATGAGCTTTGCTACTGACTACAGTCAGAAACTGACCGCCAATTAAAATGTAATTCCTGTAATACCACTATCAATCATTTTATTCAACATATGATTATTAATATATAACATTGTAATAGTAATATTTTGAGATGGTGGAGAAGATTTGTAGCTCAGGTGGATGATTTTGATGGAGTTTTGTTCTCTGAGCTGGATGGTTTGGTCGTAGAGCTTTCTTCGTTCTTCCGAATGAGATCATCAGCACAAACTTCAGGTAGAAGTGACAAGTCCGACTGACAAACCATTACTTAATCATAGTTAAGTGATATCCTTTATTCATCCCACTACTTATCAACCAAATAATGACCCGAAAAACTGTTAGAGTAATTAATAATCGACATCTAAACATGTTACAAGCGAAAACTATTTCATGTCAAAAGTCACATGTTCCATAGAACGGAGATTCGTCTCATTAACTTTGATAAAAACATCTAGTACTTACTTCAGAATTAATACTAGTTGTATTCATTTTATTAACAACTTCTTCATATGAAGGCGGTTTACAGTCAATGTCTAAATGGAAAGAAAATATTTTAAAACATAACTGATAATAGAACAAATGTAGAAAGAGCTACATGTCTTTTCTAATATCTGTGTCAGCAGAACGAGATTACCTCTTTAGAGTCTGCATGGTAGCCACGATCAGCAGTTGGAGATTCGGGTAATATGGAGCAGAGTTGTTCATGATGGGTCAGACGTATTTACTTTTTGTTTTCCCTTTAATCCTGAATTCCAGTATTCCTTCATAGAAGCCTTTCCACTTACACATGCCAAGGAACCACCCTATCTCGATGAGTGATGTTGTGTAGCATAAAGACAGGTCAGAAGGCATGAAGTGATTGATTATAAGTATGAACTGTGTTAGTAAGTCCAACTATATAGTTGGGGTCCGCACAATAATTGTAACCTGTGATTCAAGACATCACGTGACATACCTCAAAATCGTCAATAGTTGAGCAGAGGTAATCAATTTTTGTTCTTCTTTACAAATTCAGTTACAAACTACTTCATACCTTCTGTTTTATGAATTATCTCTTCCACCCAATTCATATCCTCTAAGTTTAATCTTTTTTACTATCATTGATACTACATTAGAAGTTGGTTAGTTTATATTATATTTAAGAAATAGCAGTTTTCAGATTCCATACATTCACTTATATTTTGAACATTGAGAATAGTATCATCAATCCTGATATAACAAGTGTACCTATTAGCTTAATAAACAAATCTCTACATAATTATAATATTAAAATGAGTGTTTTTTATGGTGTGAGCTACTTATATCCAGTATGACGATAGTCAGGAATAAGATATATTTCAATAGAAGATCGAGAAAGAAAGGATGGAAACAGAAAACAATTGCTGTGAAAATGCACAAACAATGAAATCTGAGATGATGGACAGATACTCGCAAAAAGGAACAATCAAGTTTGAAACAATGGATGAACTGTTTACAAATGAAGTAATTACTCAGATGTTCTGTAATTTTATGCTCACATACATTCGGTTGGCCTTCAGTCAGTCAGCTACAACGTAGGACCAGGCACATATGTGCATCGGTCCAGGTTGCCATACCTCATTAGCACAGCAAGATGAACACCGGATTCATAGGAGTGGTTAGGTCAAAGGTTGCAATAAGGATATAGTATAGGAAGAAAGAATTAGTTCGTAGACAGAAAGAATGAAGTGATTTTAGTCTCTTAGTTTAAGGGAAGACAGGGAGTGTATACACCGACGCCATTGTGATCGATTCTGAGCCATGTCACCAAGAGTCTCCAACCATTGGTTACGAAAGTCACGCGGACCCCAACCAAGTAGTCTGCATCTACCAACATGGCTCAGACTAGAAGTTAGTGACTTCAGGCATTGATGCCACGTTTTAGTTTGGCCGCCCCTAACTTTCTTCCAACCATCCCCTACCCCGGTTAGCATTGCACGTCGTGGTAATCGGTGTTCAGGCATACGTAATACGTGGCCCAACCATCTCAGTCGATGAAGATTCATAACCTCATCAACTGATTTACCATCATTCCCTAATACCCTGCGTCTAACCTCACTATTACTTACCCGGTGATCCCAGCAGATGCCAGCAATATTTCTGAGGCATCTGTGGTCAAATACTAGTAGCTTACGGGTGTCTTTTACTCTTAAGGGCCATGTTTCGCTGCCGTAAATTAAAACAGAACGAACTGCCGCGCAGTATACTCGTCCTTTTATTGATAGACGGATATCTCGCCTTCGCCAAAGGTGACGTAAGTTGGCAAAAGCCAAACGAGCTTTTCGAATCCGTGCTGAGATTTCGTCAGACACCAACCCATTAGGGCTGATCAGACTTCTAAGATAAGTGAAGTTGTCAACGCGTTCAACTACTTCACTCCCTATCCTTAGTTCAGGTGTTGACGGAGACCAGTCCTGAAGTAACAACTTGCATTTAGAGGGAGAGAAACGCATCCCAAACATTCTGGCATTGTTGCTTAGTGCTACCAGAAGACTCTGCATTTTGTCATCGGTTGGCCTTACTCATGTCCTTGTCAATATGATTATAGAATAACTATAAAGGTTATTATATACGTATTATAAATCGAGATAGATCGATGTTGTATTTTCTTACCTGTTGTATCAACTGATTTAAAAGAACCATTCAATAATTTCTTAGATTTTGACATTTTAATCTGTTGACAATAATGTTTTAATACATGAGATTTTAAACTAATTCTAGCTGTTCCAGGATGTAATAATATAGCTAAAATTGGTATAATCAAACGATCTATTTGACCAGTTCTTAAAGCTTTCTCTATCCATAAAATAGATTGTTCTCTTAGTATAGAATTTCCATAATTAATTGAATGATCAATTTGATGATCATTTTTATTTATTTGTCTTTGATTGACATTTACATTCAATTGTGATAGATTTGTTAAACCAATTGACCTTATTGGACCCAATGGATTATCATAATCTAAATTATCCAATAGGAGTAATGTACATCTATTGATTATTTGATGAGGATGATGATGATGATCATGATGAAGATGAACAAATGAAGAGAATATGAAAGCAGAGAAAACAAAACAAAAACAAACAAGTTACACAACTCTAAATAACAATCAACTATTGAATTTTAATAATCATCAATAGAAGGTTATACACAACTAAATAAACAAATGGTTCATCTATGAAAACATGTTCTTACAGTAACATACATACATACATACATTTTGTTTAGTTTATGATCTCTGACAATCTATATAGATATATATATATGATTTGTTTCGTTAAACGTTCAATATTACTTAATTGTCAAGTACAGATTATCTGATAAGAGGTTTTGAATCACATGCTTTTGTGTATAATAACTAGTAATATTGATCAATTACTGATAGTGAAATGAAGATAATTGAAGTGAATTTATGAGAATTGGAACCTGAAACTAACTGACTCGAGTTCAAGCATACTAACCACTAATCTGTAACAACATAATAAATGTAGTAGCTGATAAGGTGTGGATGATTGATTCACTCTTGAGTGATGTTAGAGATATGAGGGCGGTTATCACTTACAGGTTGTCCACACTGTGGAAGGGTTCTTCTAGAGGTACCTGAAAAGGAAATTGGATTAGAGGCGGTATTAGTGACATGAGAGCGTGACCGCAGTGCCCAAGGAACAACTGTTTGAGGTCAGTCACACACGACCGTTTTGTGAGAAATTTTCGTGTTAGCTCCGTACTTGTTGAGACCTTACCGCCGGAGACGGATATCCGTGCGATAAGTTAGGGGTGTGCATTTTTAGGGTCGACCTTTCTTAACCCTACCCCTCCTCGTGGGAAGGTAGCATCGCTGTCATGCTGGTTGTCTGAAGGAAACACCTTACTGCTGTCACACCTCTGTACAGTCGGCGGTACGACTTCGCCCTCGGACCTTGGGTTTGCTGCATCTAGTCCTACCTTTCTTCACCCGACCTGTCTGGTATGGTAGGACCTTGAAGAACGATTGTTCCAGCCAATATAGCTCGACTGGTTTATCACCGCCCGACCACCACGTTAAGGTAGCAACAACGGCCAGGCGATGATTGATTAACTGACAGTAGCGTCAAAAAGTGATAACCTTGATTAAATTGGTCGGAAAAATCTTGAAATTTAGCAAACGTTATCGAATTGTAAGCAAAAGTGAACTAAATTTTTACGAAATATTTCATATAGCCTTAAACGTCTAACTGAAGATCATGGAAGGTTCATGATAAATTATAATGAATGGAACATCTACGAGATCGCGTCGAAAAACTTTCGGAATGTGTGGCTAAATATGATCTAGACAACATTTCTGATGTGAGATATTTCGTTCATGCTACTGGATAAATAGTTATTAGCATAGTTTTGATGATATACAATACATAAAATGATAGATCTACAGCAAACAAAAATAAATCCAAATCAGTATAACAAAGTACAATTTTATAGGTCGGAAATGAAATATAATTCTGCCCGGAGCATTACTGGGGCTCCTGCCGGTCCCAATCCCAGACAAAGAAGGATTGAGCATGAGGTTGGAGACCCCATTCCGTAGAACATTAAATCGCTAAAAAACGCTAACCAGAAAAAATAATTCAAATCATTTAGACTCTGCCCTGAGAGTAAGGTCTTCATTTAGAAGAGTTATGACGCCTCATGGTGAAAGCCGAGTTTAGAAGTCACGAGGCTGATGCCCCTTCTGACAACCACAGCAACTATTAATTTAGGTACATGGAATGCTCAGCTGCTTATGTTCCATCGGGAGTAACAGCCGTAGGTAAGTAAGATGAAATATGCCTGTTGAAATCAAAGTCGAACAGGGTTACCAATCCAAAACTTGTAACACAACTTCATACACATAAACAATTGACTTATATGAAAAATAGTAATAGCTAGCCAAATGGAATAGCTTGAAAAAAACAAGAATTTTTTGAGTACTTAAGTTCAATTTCGATCACTGATGTACCTCGATAGACACAACAAACAATCTAGTGACGTAATTTGTCGACAATCAGATACATAGGTATGTGAAAATCTAATATAAAATATTAGGCTAGCATAAATGGGCATAATAACTAAAACTACACAAGTCATATCAGATGATCGAGCCAGTCCCATCGACTGAGAGGAAACTTGTATACTCAAAATGCAATATCATTGATAAAATCGATAAAGCTATAGGGATCGAGATGAAAACCAATAAAAATTAAGCTTACCTATAGAAAGGAATATCATATAAACCTAAACCAGGAGATGATAAATCACTGTTGCCAACTTTATTGTCTCCAGTCAAACCAAGAAATGCACGCCTCCATGATACAGCCGCTATGAAATTGGATACACCACTTAGTCTAAAAGAATCATGAACTGAAGAATGTAATGATCGTTTAGTAACCGGAAACTGATGAACTGAATTACTAGTTGAAGTGTTTGTCAATGGATGAATATTTGATTGAACACGTGATCCATAGTATCTCAATAAATGCCACAGTAAAATAAAACGTGAATGTGCATCTATTTTAATATCTAAATCAGATGAAAGCATTTGAGAAAGAATGAAGCCTTCAATACAAGAACTGATAGTAGATGTGATTCCTGATATTCTGGGAGTTAATTGACAAGCAAGAGATTTTGGCAATGGAGGAGCTAATTGATGTAGACGAACAAGTAAACTTGTTGCATCATCATGATAAGTAGAATATTCTGGTGATAGATAACGCCATAATGAAACACCCAAGTACTAAATTGAGATAAACAAATCAATGAATTATTTCATACATACGTAAATTATAGTAATTTGATTAGACCTATATAAATTCCATAATTAACAATTCAATTTTTACCATTTACGAAATCTTACAAATATACATAAACATATGATTGACTAAATTCTTTAAACTAGTGTAAACTGTTAAGTTTAAGTGACTAAGGAAACAATACTATTGGGTTGCAAGTAAATTTAGTCAGTGTATTGTATGTTCTGGATCCTATTACTATTCAACAACAACAACTTGAAATAGAACTAATCACAAAATGATCTTTTGGAGAATCACTAGAAACGTTGAGGATTTTTTTTAGTAAGCTATAATTCTAGTTGTAAAGAACTTTAAAGTTGGCCATATCAAATCAGTTGCTGAACATTCCTACAATAGAGTTACTGATGCTCATTGCGTAAGTCTTTTTTGTCAAAAAAGGTAACTCATATTGAATAAAGTAATTACAAAATCTTATTTAGAATAATACCATTTCATTTCGTAGTTTCTCATCAAGTGTCAGTCAGTCAGTGAACTATAACGTAGGACCAGGCACAGATATGCATCAGTACAATAAAATGAACACCGAATTCATGGAAGTAGTTAATTCAACGGTGGTAATATATAAAAGAAAGATTATGTATAAGGATATAGTACAAGAAGGAAGAATTAGTTTGTAGAAAATAAGGTATAAAGCAATATTAATCTCACGGTTTAAGGGAGTGTATACACCGATGCCATTGTGATCGATTCTGAGTCATGTCACACAGAGTCTACAACCATTGGTTACGATAGTCACACGGACCTCAAACAAGTAGTCTGCATCTACCAATATGGCTAGGACTAGCATTTAGTGACTTCAAGGACTAATGTCACGTTTTAGTTTGGCCGCACCTAACATTCTTCCAACCGTCTCCAACCCTGGTCAGCATTGTGCGTCGTGACAATCAGTGTTCAGGAGTACGTAACACGCGACGCAACCATCTCAAACGATTAATATTCATAACTTCATCAGCTGATCTAATATCATTCCCTGATACCTTGCGTCTAACCTCACTATTACTTGCACAGTGATTCCAGCAGATGCTGGCAACATTTTCAAGACTTCTGTGATCAAATACTAGTAACTTACGAGTATCTTCTACTCTTAATGGCCACGTTTCGCAGTCGTAAAGTAGGACGTCTCATCAGGTGTATATAAACACACTCAAATTAGAACATAACATAAGATTAAATAATAGATATTGATGACTGAAAGAATGGAAATGACAACGATTATCAATAATGTATACACATAAGTGAATAAGACTAGGTAAGATAAACAAAATAAACATAAATGGAATGAGATAGTAATTGTATAAAATTAGAAAATTAATAAGATGAACTGAACAATCGTTATAGAAGTTTTGAAAAGTTCATATAAGTCATGAGAATCAAGTCTGAAAATCACAGATAACTTCAACATACACAGACTTATTTACATATATATACATAGTAACTGTTGTTTGCTAATCTACCTTTTCATATCAGCTCATTTAAAGTATAGGTTACATCAATATTTAGATTTTTTTGTGAATAATGCCTAATCGACCGATACCTAATCACTGATTGTTGATCAGTTTAGTGTTAAATTATACGCTTAGTGACTGAGATCTTGAATATTTTCGACTAAATAATATCATACAGATGTCTTCATTCATTCACTCATTCACTCACTCACTCACTCACTCACTCACTCACTCACTCACTCACTCACTCATTCACTCACTCACTCACTCACTCACTCGTTAATTACATTTAAATTATCTTACTATATAAAGTATGATACTTCATTATCAAATCTATGTCTTTTAATTGCATTCATTTTCGTATTGTCTTAATTTTCCAACGATCAGAATTCCAGAAACTTTGTAAAATACCATATGACTTAAAGAGGGATTTTCGTGCACATAGTTCCCATTATTATTTTGAAAAGATCAAGAACAAAGATTCTAACAGAATAGCATGAATTCATTTTATTTCGTTTGGTTCTTGTCAGCTGCTTACAACTTGTGATATTTAAAATCATAATTATATAATGGGTTTAAATTACTGACATGAGAGGGGTTGGTTGAAAGTTATATTGAAGATATAGTAGTATAGTATAGCAAGGGTGTAAATAAATCTAATAGACTGAATACTATAAATATATGCATTATGTAAAAGAACATTCTATAACATTGATTGTGACAACAGTTCAAACGGCCAGAAACAAATGATTACATAATGAGTAAACATTGGTAGAAATAAAGTACGTAGAGCACAGTTGATAAAATAAAATTATTAATTTTGAAGATAGCTGAAGTAAAACTCAATGATGCAATAAATAGAAGAAAGGGTTTAAAGAAAAAGTGAAAAAAAATATTAAGATGCAGCGAAGGAATATTTGTCACCAAGGCAAGGAAAGATTAATAACTATCTCGTTTTGAATATATAAGTCAGGTTTTTGATGCCTGATAGCAACGGCTTCAGCAAACTTCAGAACACTGGAGTTTGGCTGTTTATCATTCATCTTGAAGAATTGCAAGGTATCGAATTGATGTCCTGTATCAAGGAGATGTTTCGTGATTGCATTGTTTAGAGTTTTTCTTTTTCTTGTTTTGAGGCATTTTTTGGAACATGTTCAAAAAAATATTAAAATATGCCCTTCTTTCTGTTAGACCGATGTAGATGATTTGGCAGATACACGTAAATTTATAAATATGGTTAGCGGTAACAATGAAAGGGGTGCTAGTTAAACTCTTTCTACATACTCTTATTACATTATTTACTTAAAATTCCAAATAATTTTTAAGTATATCACTTATTCTTGATAATGTAACATGAAGGAAATTATCAAAGTTTAAATTATAGACCGTCTACTTAGTGTCTATGTATTAGGATAGAATAAAGTTGTTGTGCTTTTTTTCTGACTGCTTTTTCACAAGTATTTCCGATATAAATGTGAATAAATCATCTGTGTCATGAGTATGAAAATCAATAACTGATCATGCTGGTTCATTCTTAGAGATATATATTTCAAACATTTTATTTTAGTATCAGAAGGGGTTTTGTGGAGATTTTAGTAATTTCAATAGTTGAAATCATGAGTCAATTGAAGCTATATCACCATGGAAAACCTGGAAGCATTGGACAGCCGTTTCGTTCTATTGTGGGACTTCTCAACAGTGCGCATCTATGATCCCGCCCCGCGGGATTCCGACCCAGGACCTATCAGTCTCACGCGTGAGCGCTTAACCACTAGATCACTGAGCCGGCCGGCATCCAATGGTGTTAATGTCTAGCTTCAATTAATCCACGAAACTGAGCGACAGATTCACCATTGTCATCAGTGAGTTACTATCTCACAACAGACCCGGTTGAACGATTAAAATATTTTATTTTCACCCAAAAATGGAGGTAATTACTGAAATTTTAATAAGAAGATATGAATAATGGAGTTCAAACATCGAGTGTGTAATAAATATCACCAGTAGTATTGGATACCAGTTCTACAATAAGCCAAATCAAATGTTTTAAAGATTAAAGCCTCACTCTGAGAATTTAAGGTTCCGATTTCAACTATCGATGAGATAATCATCAATAAATACTGATGAAATTTTTTACACTAACACAAAACAGATGTTCACTGCTTACTGCTTTTTACAGTTTATCTCACAAAGACTAATCTGCGATGTAAAATTACAAAGAGAATTCAGTTAATCAACCATATACTTATCATTATAAGCTTATGATTTACAACTAATAACGTTACTTCAATTTCATGAAAAAGTTGAACAGGACAGAATTTGAACTCAAGACATCAAATGATCAGTAAAATTTATTAATATATAGTTTGCTTACATACCGTGAATAAATTTGTCTTTTGAGAAAGATATGACATCAATTCTCCACTTAGCACAGGAAATACTAAACGCATTCCACGATTTCCTTCATGTTTATCATCTATGGGAAGTACTTTATCACCATTCTCATTATTGTTTCCTGGATGGATCTGTCCAGCACTATTATTATTATTATTATTATTATTATTATTATTATTATTATTATTATTAGTAGTAGTAGTAGTAGTAGTAGTAGTAGTAGTAGTATTGATGTCATTAGAATAATACTTCAATTCTGTACTCCAACCGTGAATAGAAACAGCTGCATGAAATAATTCAATCAGTGTATACAAAGCAATTGACTTAATATTGAAATTATCTAGATCACATGATGCATACAATAAACAAACAAGCCATTGTGGTAGAATGAAACGACCTGGTAAAAGAAAGAAAGAAATAACAATAATAATATACAATTGATATGTTAAATAAAAGTGAAACAAAGACGTAGCAACAAAAGAAATGATTGTGATCAAAGATGAGTGAGAATACGGATTGAATTCAGGTTCAATAATCAGCAATCGATAACAATAAAAGTGACGTAGGCAATTACTATAACATATATATGATGCATTCATAACTACATATATGCACAGCATGTACATGATTACATTTCTAAGAAAGATGAAAAGGAGGAAAATATGGAGTGCAAAGATAAGATGAATAAATGTTCACATATTTGAATCGATAATGATTAACTAACCTGTAAATATTAAGCTAATTAAACCTAAATCCTAATCAATATGTTACATAGAACTTTTATCAGTCAATTGTATTTGGATGTTATGTTAGCCAAGATAACCGACAATAAACCATGTAGGACATAAGTTTCATCCTAGTTAGTATTTACCTACAAAAGATGTTTAAACATTCTGAAGGAGCTACTGATACTCGATGCAGAATTTGAATCCGCGTCATCAACGCATATCCCACCTCTATAGAATTGAGACACTAAACAAACATGGCATTAATCACTAATGTTCAATGGTTAATCGATGTAAAATGAAGATTTGTTAAAATCACACTACGAAATCGTATATTCCAAATGATATCTAGTAAATACTGAGGATACGAAAATAAACTTCAGATAAGGTGATATGACTGAAAATATGATCATTAAACAAACACAGGAGATGATGATGATGATGATGGTAGTGCAAGAAAACATCTCAAATACATAGATCACTTAACTTGATATACAGAATCAGTTAGATACAAAGTGAAAATCAGCGAAAGCATGAATGAGTGAACAAAAAAGATATTTGTTGAGACTATAATTTATGGACGACCTTTGAGCATGTCCACCTACCAACTAGGACTAAATGAAGGTTATAAAAAAGTGTGGGAAATTAGAATTATGATTTGCAGTTGATGGTTAGGGTTAGGAATTAGATATAGGGTTTCCATTTCGAACTAACATCAGATATAATGCTGAAATAGTATTTAGCCAAATGTGTGGATGAATTGCGCGCTAAAATCCGAGACTTGTGATCTAAAAACTGATTGGTTCGTCCATAAATTATAGTCTCGTCACATATTTCACTAAAAAAAAACACTGTGTTGGCTGACAAAGGGAGGAGAAAAGAATCATCAAACCAATGCTATTATTCAAAAATACTTAGTGCTAAATTTATTGAAAAAACGATAGGTATAATGGGTTAATCAAGTACAATAATATACACACGCGGATCCAATCTAGCACGCACACTAAAAAAGAGTAACGCGGTTTCAAGATCAAATCAATTACCCAAACTGTAGTGAAAATAACAATGATAATTGTTTAGTACAGGCTGCTGCGAACCAGTGGTAAAGTTCTTTTTTAAAGAGCCTATATAAATGAGGTATACATAAAACAATAATAAATGTACTAACTTGTTTTAAATAAAAATATTTTTAGTTATGAAAGTGAAATACAGAACAATACATTACAAAATGTTAAAGAAAAAAGACCGGTGAATCAAACGATACTCACTAAATTTGTGGAATAAAAAAATCAATGCACTGAAGAAAAGTAGCATTCCTTCTCTATGAGATACTGTTCCAAGTCACTGAGTTCACCTAGGGGAATTGGAAAACCCTGATTCCAAACCAATGGTGCACATGGGTTCCAGTATCTTGAAGCAACAAATGACATATGAATCAATCGTTGGTCACTGGCTACGAAGGGACTACATCTCCTGACGTTGTTCCACTACCTTGTTGACTAGACCTTTAGGTCTAAGGCTCCGGATATGGCTCCCTAAGAAAACCACCTGATTCGGTTTGGATACCAAGGCAGTAACCCGGCCCTCACACAGATCGAACTATTTATGTGGTGCATCCTTGTACCAATGTTTATGTATTTAAGCAAATAAATAAATAAATCACAGCGCTATAACATTCTACAGCCAGTAAGTACTCCATATTATAGAAGTCTATGCAACAAAAAGCCTAAAACATGATTAGCCTACCTAAGTCTGTTTCAAGATGATGAGAGTTTAAGAAATACTGAACTATGTCCGAAATCAAGATAACTTATATAATATTGCTGTTGAATACCAACAATGCTTATGAAGTAAGATAATGGAACATACAGAGAGTCGAAGGAAATAATCATTACGGAAAAGTCAGATGGCTTACATGGCATTATACACATAAGCAGTATGACTTCCATTTATGAAGAAATACGGTTCAAAACTACGTTGAAATTAATGACCACCTTCTGTTGAGTTTTTTTATTTAAAAAAGTTACCCAAATTATTTCAGTTTATAAAAATGTAAAGTTGAATGGTAAAAATTGCTAGAAACGTACTTAATAAGGAAAGAATAAAAAATACGAACTAAATATTACAAAATATCACAAACTACTTTACAGTACTCGAATAAAAAATCAACGAAAAGCATAAAATACAACAGAACTGTACAGATACAATCGATCAGTCAGTCAGTCAGTCAGTCAACAACATAGAACTTCGTACGTACGTACGTACGTACATCAGTTCAAGTTGCCATGCCACATTAGCATAGAGATACAGATAAAAGATAAATATGGATAAATTAATATGATATTTAATATTAGATGTAAAATAAAAACTGAATTTAACTGTAGTATTGTCATATCACTATAATCAGCACAACCTTGTAGAAAACATTAACTACAAAAACTATACAATAATATACCTGTAATACGATTATTCATATTCTGAATACACGGTTTACATTAGGACAGGAAATGTTAGAAAAAACTGACATTTTTCTATCTATTAATACATTAATATTAACATTATTCTGTCAGTTTATTTATTTAAATACAGAGACGTTGGTACAAGGAGGCACCAAATAGATATGCGCCACATAAATCATTCGATTTATGCGAGGGCTGGGATAGTGCCCATGGTAATCGGTGACCAACGATTAGTTCATATACCATTTGTTCCTTTAGGATACTGCAGCCCATGTACACCATTGGTTTGGAATCAGGGTTTTCCAACTCCTCAAGGTGGACTCTGCGTGTCCACCAACCCGGTTAAAGCCGATGCCGGACATTCGCTTTTCGTTCTCTCGACTTCGTAAATAACGACCTCGCCACGAGAAGTCAGTGAGTAGAACTTCCCAGACAGTGGTTGTATGCATGTGGCTATGTGAGAGCATTTAGAGAGGGAGAGCTGACTCTTTCTCACTCTCGACTGTACCAGGGCATTTGGGGCTATTGTGTCAGTAAAAAGAACTCATGAAAAGTTTCGATTTATTTTGGTATTATAAAGCCAAATCTTGATTATGATACATGAACACAGTAAAAAAAAACTTAAATGAACAAACAATAAAACTCACAAGTTAATTTACAATGAAAACTCTTCCACTTTCATCTATTTTGACTATTATGAAAGAAATTATTCGTACATTTAACATATCATAACATATACTTAACTAGAGTCAAGTTTCTATAAATCCGGCGTTCGTCTTGCTGTGCTAATGAGGTATGACAACTTGGACTGATGCATATATGTACCTGGTCCTACGATGTAACTGACTGAGAATCAAACCAGACATACATCACAACAACACTCAGATTAAAAAAAAGAAATGCAGCTTAAAACTGAGTACATAAATGGTAAAAGAATTACATTCTAATGTCTGGAAACAATTCTCCTAGTATATAGTTCATTTAATATGTTTATTATACTAGCAGAAAAGAAACCATTTTTCAAGTTAATTACCAATCAATAATAACTAGTCTTTTAATCTTAAACACATAAATATTGGTACCAGGAGGTACCAAATAGATATGCACCACATAAATTATTCGATTTGTGTGAGGATTGGGATACTGCCCGGGTGTCCATACCTTGGGGAGGTCTCACAGTCTTTTAACATAAAACACAAGTAAAGATTACATGTCGGTAAAAAAAAAGTGTAATTTATTTTATAATATAGAGAAAATTGTTTATTACAATCTAACTGAATATGACATAATTCTAGTTAATATATTACTAAAATATGCATAGCATACAATAGAATTCATGTACAGAAACTTATTGAGATCTCGTTCAGAATTTTGAAAAGTACAAAAATGGAAAGCATCATTAATACATCGAATTTTGAGTCAATCCGAACAATTGTACAACGTTCATCGACTGAGATGGTTGGGCCACGTGTTACGTATGCATGAACACCAATTACCACGTCGTGCAATGATAACGGGTGTTAGAGATGGTTGGAAGAGAATTAGGGTCGGCCAAACCAAAACGTGGCATCAGTGCTTGAAGACACTAACCTCTAGTCTGAGCCATGTTGGTAGATGCAGACTATTTGGTTGGGGTCCGCGTGACTCTCGTAACCGATGGTTGGAGACTCTTGGTGACATGGCTCAGAATCGATCACAATGGCGTCGGTGCATACACTCCCTGTCTTCCCTTAAACTAAGAGATTAAAATCACTTCATACCTTTCTTTCTACTAACTAAGTCTTTCTTCCAGTACTGTATCCTTATATGCAATCTTTCTCCTATATATTACCACCTTTGACCTAGCCACTCCTATGAATCCGGTGTTCATCTTGCTGTGCTAATGAGGTATGACAACCTGGACCGATTCATATATGTGCCTGGTCCTACGTTGTAGCTGACTGACTGACTGATTGTACAACGTCAAAGATCATATTATCAAGAGATATAACAACAGAAAAAGTAATTCGAAGCAAAAATCTCCAGTACCATCCAACAAGGGGGCGTGGATAAAGTTGAAAAAAAATAAAAATAAATGATCATTTATTAAACACTTACAAAGATGTCATTGACTAAACAAGAGTAAATATAAACTGTTAAAACGTCAATTTCTACGAATATTCAGAATTGGACAACTGCAAATTATCTTTAACAAATGTGAGTAATTAGTACACATGTGAACCAAAGTCAACATTTACATTTGTTCATGTAACATAGATCTTAAAATAAAGGTTGTAATGTAACACAAAACGAATACATTACTTATTGACTTTTAGAAAGACAATGCTTTAGAGAGAAATGAATAACAGATCAGAATGATTGTTTATTTAGCACGATTAGAATATATTGTAATAGTTAATAATAATAATAATAGTAATAGTAATGGTAGTAATAGTAGTAATAGTAATAATAATAAGTGACAGACTACAAAAGCCAAAAGGCTTTTAACGAAATTGATAAAGGACACATGATAGAAAGAAAAAATTATGAACGCCTTCTAAATAAACAAACAACTATACAATATTTCTATTTAGAATTATATCAGAAAGGGGTTTCTTGTGGATATTATAGTAATTTGAATAGTTGAGATAATGAGTCGATTGAAGCTAGACCGGCCGTTTCGTGGGACTCCTCAGCAGTGCAGATCCACGATCGCAGCTCGCGAGATTCTCACGCGAGCGCTTAACCTCTAGATCAATGAGCCGGCATCCAACAGTGTTAATTTCTAACTTCAACTAATCCACGAAATTGAGCGATACAAGTTTACAATTAACATTATGATTATCATTGAAGTTAATAAATAAGAAAATAAATAAATAGAAGACATGCACAGTACTAATCCGAATGACAATTACTTTGTAATTGTCATATGATTTCCTTTTCATTCAATTTAAAATCATGTTTTTGACTGGTAAATCATTGAAAAACATTTCATTTCTCACTAATGTTCTATTCTTCATAAATGTTGTTAATTACACAAATATCCATCTCCCAACCAAATGACAGGTTTATTACACTACACAGAAGTTAACTTCGTTCTACTTTATGGGTGTGAAGCATGGTTATTTAAAATAGATGATATTCGTAGATTAATACTATTTGACAAAAAGGTGTCTTCGAAGCATCGCTTGTGTATTTTGGGACCGCAGAGTAAGCGACGGCCTTGGTTAGCAATCGGGTAAAAGGTAAGGATCGTGAATCGATTGAAGTGGTATTAAATCTTCATCAACTGAGGTGATTGGAATATATGTTACATATGTTTGCCAACCACCTACGTTGACAGACAATGCTGTTTGGTGTAGGCGTAGTAGGTTTGAAGAAACCTAATGTCAGCCAAACTAAAACACGGCATTAGTCCATGAAGTCACTGACAACTGAACTAAGCCATACTAACACGGGTCCATAAGAATGTCGTAACGAATACTTAGAAACTTTGAATGACATGACTCGAAATCGTTAGCAATGACACAGGTTCATCGACCCTATCTTCCCCTAGACTCTAAGTTCCTAATTTCCTCACAATCCCTTCACTTTACTTATTTATATTTCCGTGAATTGTATCTTTGATGTCTAATCATTCTTATTACCACTTATACTGTTACTACCTCTACTATTCTAGGATTTAGCCTGACAATTTCATCTCTATGTAGTGATGGGTTATGGAAACTTCAACGCATTTTCACATGTACCAGGTTCTACGTTGCGTCTGATTGATTGATAGGCGGATACTACGCTAAACAGAAATTTTCCAAATGATGTGTTCACAAGCTTGGCCAAACAAACGGATTTCATTTCTAATAAATGAAGTAGAGCAAGTTAGTTATATAATTTCTTAATAACACAACGAATAATATTTACTTTCTATGTAGTACCTTAAGTAACTCTAAATAAACAAAAGTCGAGAAATCCTCGTAAAATCCATAAGTGACATGTGCATACATAGCCACTTTTCTTATCTCTAGTAATTCAACTATTAGAACTAAGTAGAAATGTGTTAATTCATACTGTCAAAACAATACAACTAGGTAAAGAATAAAGTTACAGCCACGACAGTAAAATACATAAGTCAGTGTTCAAAGTTATTCGTTCAGGTTTAAACGTTTTATTGGTTAAGTTAAGTAACCCGTCGAGAGACCGACTGGCAGAATCGGACTAGAGAGGAATAAATCAAGCTTTCGATTAAGTGCAGGTAGCGAGCGTCGTAACACCTTCAGTAATGTAAAATCTATTCTAAGCTATTCGAACCAGTTACCTTGTACTATCAAAACGGTCTTCATCAGCAGGCCTACAATACTATGTAAAACCCGAAAGACAATAACTCAATAGATTTTTTCGACCTTTTTGCCAAATCAAACCATACATGTTTTTATCTTGGCCTAATGAAAACTACAGGATTGAAATAAACAGGAATTAAGTTTGAGGTGAACAAAACTTAGTTTTTATACATTTAAAATTAAGCCGACTAGATACTTTCATTATGTACCGACGAACAAGCAGAGCCAATCTATATAAATATTAGCGATGTACAAAATGAACTAGTTATCAAACAAATATGGTTTTGTAAATTAAACAAGAATATAAGTAAATATGGAGGGTTGGAAGGTATCGAATAATAATATGCTATCCAAGATTTAGATGAAATCAAAGAGCAAATACAACTGTATCGCTTTAACCGATCCATAATAAAATGCTTTAAACCTATTCAAGAAACTTCGTGGATTTTCCGAATGAAATTTACAATTCTAGAAACAACTCATACCGATAGACAATACATTTTGGATGAATATAACATAACCAGTTTCAAATTGAGTAGTAAAATTTAAGAAATAATCAATTATACACTGGAGTATGATAAGGACTGTAACAGATATCAAGCAGTGTTGCCGTAATGAAAAGAAAATTTACTAATATCATGAGATTCTCAATAAGCATTAGATATCACTAAATGAAACTATCTTAAACTGTATGTTTACTTTATATTTTACAGGGAAATATGGCACTTTACTTAATAAAACTAAGTTTATTTGGTTGACTAACCAACCCAACTATGATATCAGTTCCTCTGAAACTCTTGTATTGTTAATAATTGGAGTTTTTGAGTATGGACTCAAACAATCAGTTTCACGTATCCTAAGATGTGATTACATAATGCTAACATTCATATATATGTTGCCAAACAAACAAGTAACACCATTATTGTGTTCTGGAAGGATTCGAATACTTTAATTTATCATATTGTTAGTAGAGTTAAATGACCAAACCTCTTCTTGGTCATATATACAACAGAAGTTCACAACAACTAACCTGTATCAGCATGACGTATAAGTTCACCACCGAATAAATCTAAAATACTAAGATCAGAATTACTGGTAGGAATTATTCTAGGTGACATTGATGAATTTTTAAATTGATGCATAATAGATAATGGAAAACTGGACATCTCCACAATAAGACGGCAAATTTGTGCAAAAAGATCTATACAACTGACTGAAGACGATGGTAATAACACTTGATGATTATGTTTCAATACAGATTTTTCATGAGATTTTTCTTTAGCACCTTCTTTGTCAATTATATCTTCATTGTTATTACCATTCACTTTGTTTATTTCTCCTTCATTTGAAATGATACTAGAATCATGTTCACATTGTTCCGCACAAATTTTTCGAAGAAATTCATTCATCTTCATCGGGATTGATTTATGCATGAATGGGGAAACAAAACATAATAATGATAAATAAAAAGTAGTATCTATCAAATGCAAAAATAGTTCATATTCCAGAATAATAATAGTCGGAAAAAGTAAAACAACAACTGAAAACTAGGGAGCATTGTATGGTCGATTTGACTCAATGAAAGACTTCTTAGAAGAAGATATCGCAATTGATTGATCACTGGATGGTGATCAATGTCATGCTTGTCTAGTCCTTATTAGTGCAGATCGAATGCTATCGATCATGTTGCAATGTGGCCACCAGCCTAGGTGACTCGACACTGCGGGCACAATGTATTGAGATTTAGAAGGTGGTTGGAGGTAGTCAACAGGAAACCCTGGACTGGTGGCCACATTGCAACATGATCGATAGCATTCGATCTGCACTAATAAGGACTAGACAAGCATGACATTGATCACCATCCAGTGATCAATCAATTGTGATTACATCTCAGTCCTACAGGGGGTTAGTCACGACTCGGATAGCTTAGTGGTAACGTCTCTGACTGTGAAGCTGGGTGATACGAGATCGAATCCGCCAGGTAGCACCAGTTCCCTTAAGATTATAGGTACACCTTGCTGACGAGTGCCAAGTAGTACGAAACCCGGATCCAGGGTTTCCTGTTGACTACCTCCAACCACCATCTAGAAGAAGATATCTAATAAATCATATGGAATAAAACCTAGGAACTGTATTAAGCATATTAATTTTAATATAATAAATTAGAATAGAATGATACTCCTTAAAATTTCAATACAAATGAATACTAAAAACGATATGTAATATAAATGAATTATATTCCATTTAACTGACAATTCATACGTGATTTAATTCAATACGACGGACGATTCCACGAAATCAAATGAAATCTTCCTTTCAAGATTTAATTTGGAAAATAGAATATTTAGATCAAAAGTTATAAAGGACTACGACATTAAATAGATTGAGAGGCATGTACTTTACTTAAAAAAACGCATTGGAAGTGATCAATAGATCAGTCGTTAAGAAAAAAACGTTTGTCACCGAGACCAAAAAACACATTACACCGAGAAATGGAGACAGGCATGTGGAGAATGAACAACAATTGGATAGAACTAGAAAGAAAGGTCCGGGACAGAGTGGGTTGGAGAATGCTTGTCAGTGGCCTATGCTCCATTGGGGGGTAACAGGCATAAGTAACCGAGACTAAAAGCAATATATAAATGGAAATCAGATGACAGATAGATTGTTGATGATCAGTCCGGACAAGTGTTGTGAACTAGAATACAGCTGGGGACAACCGATGTATTTTGATATATAATTACAGAATGTCTAGATAAAATATAAGAACCATACATTGAATACTTCATTTGCTAATTTCCATCATTTGTCCTTCACATCCTGTACGATTCTTCCTATTCGCAATTCCGTTTTATTCTCTTCAACTTCATCTTTTTAGCCTTCTGCTTCTAGGTTTTCCACTTCCGATTGGTGTTATATAGCACTTATGATTGTCGACATAAGTAACATACATCACACAAGGCGAAAGTGAAAATTCAAAATTTCTCGTTAACTGATTTTGGCTTACTGACTCCACGGAAATAATGACTAAGATGAACTGACTAGTATAATAGACACCGAAATCGTTGACCCAGAGACTACAGTTAACGTAATATATCTATTATATCTATTATATAACGCCTGAATGATTGTCAAGAAATGCTACTATCAACAGGTCATTCAAAATACAGTAACGTGATTAACATAAATAACTTGAGAATAAACAATCAAACTGACGTTATGACTAGAATAATTAGAAAATTGAATTTTTATTTTCCGTATTTGAAATGGTATTTATTTAAACACATAAACATTGGTACAAGGAGGCATGAAATACATAGGCACCACATAAATCATTTGATTTGTGTGAGGGCTGGGATACTGCCCGGGTGCCCAAACTGAAGCAGGTCGTTTTCTTAGGGGGCCACACTCGGAGTCTTTGACCTAAAGGTCTGGTCAACAAGGCAGTGGAGCAACGTTATGAGATGCAGTCCCTTCTTAGCCGGTGACCAACAATAGGTTCATAGGCCATTTGTTCCCCTAGAATCCTGGAGTCCATGTGCATCATTGCTTTAGAATCAGGGTTTTCCAACTTCCCTAGGTGGATTCTCTATATCCACCAACCCGGTTAAAGCCGGTGGCGGACATTCGCTTTTCATCCTCTCAATTTCATAAAAAACACCCCTGCCGCGAGAAATCAGTGGAGTAGGACTTCCCAGACAGTGGTTGTACGCACGTGGCTATGCGAGAGCATTTCGAGAGGAAGAGCTAACTCTTCTCACCCTCGGCCGTACCAGGGTATTTGGGGCCTGTCTGGGTGGAAATCATTACTACTCAACAAGGATTTCAATATATTAAACAAGAATAATGAAAATACATTTTTTAAATTAAACTAACTTTAACTGGTGAAAAATTTAAGACATGAATACAGAATATGCCAAGAAATCGTCGAAATTGACCAACTGCTTTAGCAATCATCATTAATTCTTCAGAAATTTGATTATCCTGACTATCAGCAATACCATCATTACTGTTGATTTCATTACATTGACCACAATTACTATTATTATTATTATTATTATTATTATTATTATTATTATTATTATTATTATTATTATTATTATTACTGTTATTTGATAATAATAATTCCTCTTGACGTTTTAAATTGACTGGACTCGATAACTGATCAAATATTGTCACTGCATACTGTCAATAATAAAAGTAAAAATGAACACAGCATGAGATTATTGAAATTAAAAACCATTAATTGATTACTTATAATTAATAATAATCAATGATATACTGTTTAACAACTATGTAATATGTGTACTAAAATATAGCACAACTTTGCAGTGTAGTCTGTCGTATGAATTACGGATGATGTTGACGTTCTTTTCAGGTTGATTGATTGTCTAACGATGATCCGTAGTGTCACGATTCGGTCTTTGCACGACCGATCCTTACAGAATCCGACATCTTAATCTCAAAGCTGAACGTCATTACCCCTACATCAGATATTTCATGTTGATATATGATGATTCCCAGGTACGTGAAAGATTACATATATTCCAGAGCTTCTCCATCAAGTGTGATTGTGTTAGTGTTGTAATTGAGGATATTGCTCTTTCCCAAATGTCTGTTGAGGCCTACTGATGCAGAGGCTTACTTACTTACTTAATTACGCTTGTTAATCCCAATGGAGAACAGTTCGCCGACAAGCATACTCCAAACCACTCTGTCCTGGGCCTTCCTTTTTAGTTCTAACCAATTTTTGTTCATTTTTCTCATTTCTGTCTCCATTTCTCGACGTAATGTGTTTTTTGGTCTTCCTCTCTTTCTTTTGACCTTCAGGATTCCGCGTGAGGGCTTGTCTTGTGACGCAGTTATGTGCTCTCCTCAATGTGTGTCCTATCCACTTCCAGCACCTCTTCCTCCGCTGGGATCTGTTTTGTTCTCTCCCATAGTAAGTTGTTGCTGATAGTGTCTGCCCAACGGATCTGAAGTATTTTGCATTGCCGATTCGCGCCTTCACATATGCATCAGATCCACCGTGTTCATCAATGATGCTGCTCAAATATGTAAAGGTTTTTACATCTTCCTAATCTTCTCCGTCAAGTGTGATTCGATTGTTGCATGCTGTGTTGTATCGGAGAATCTCGCTTTTCCCTCTGTGTATATTGAGACCCACTATGCTGTGACTGTTGCTACGTTGGTCGTCTTATGCATTTGTTGTTGCGTTTACGATAGAAGATCCAGATCATCTGCGAAATCTAGATCCTCCAGCTGCATTCCAGCTGTCCACTGTATCCCATGCTTCCCCTCAGATGTTGACGTCTTCATGATACAGTCGATCACCAGGAGAAAGAGAAAGGGTGAGAGTAAGCGACCTGGCCTGACACCGGTTTTCATTTCGAACGACTTTGTCAACTGTCCTCCATGCACGATTTTGCAGTTTAATCCATCATAGGAATTCCGTGTCGAAGAATCTCCCATAGTGTTATCCTGTCCACGCTATCAAATACTTTCTCATAGTCAATCAAGTTGATGTAGACCGATGAATTCCATTCAATCGATTGTTTCACAATGATCCGTAGTGTTGCGATTTGGTCTGTACACGATCGATCGTTACGGAATTCTGCCTGTTGGTCTCGAAGCTGGGCGTCTACGGTGTCCTTCATCCTGTTTAACAATACCATGTTGAAGACTCTTCATGGTATTGAGAAAAGAGTGAGGCGTCTGTAGTTCTCGCACTTGCTGAGATCGCCCTTCTTTGATATTTTGGTCAAAAGTTCTTCTTTTCAGTCTGTTAGTACTTGTTCTTCATCTCAAATCTTGCTGAACAGAATGTGGAGTATCGTTGCAGTTACTGCTACATCTGCTTTCAGTAGCCCTGCTGGGATGCTGTCTGGTCCTGCTGCTTTGCCACTCTTGATTTGTCTGATGGCCATGCTGATCTCTTCAACTGTTGGTGGGCCAACATCGATTGGGAGGTCCGTGGGTGCTCCTTCGATGTTGGGTGGCTTTAGTGGGGCTAGTCGATCCAAGAGTTCTTCGGAGTGTTCTACCCACCTGTTTCGCTATTCTTAGATGTTGGTGATTACTTTGCCTCCTTACTTTTCACTGGTCGTTCCGGTTTGCGACAGTTTCCGACGAGTTTCTTTGTTGTGTCATACAACCGTCTCATGTTTCCTACTCGATCAGTGCCTGCAATTATCATGACTAGTGATTAGGGACGAGTTTCTAGGATAAGAATCAACCACAATTTCAAAAGTATATTCACTATTTGTTTTCCTTCATTTGTCGAATTTTGGACCATTACAAAAATTCATATTTTTTTGAATCACTTCGTCTATACCTAATCTTATCTGCTACCATTAAACAGTTAGCACGTCTGCTACTCTGGCATTCGGCTTGATAATTTCATATCGTACTGACGTGGTGCAGCGGCTTAAACCGACTCTCATGTTCCAGATCGTACGACGCTTATCACTGACATACTTACATACTACTTACGCCTGTTAACCGTCGTAGAGGAGTATAGGCCACTTATCAGCACTTTCCATTCAACCCTGTCCGGGACAACCCTTCCCAGCTGCTATTCATCATTTTGATGTCTGCTTTCAATTCTCGGTGGAGTGTGTTCCATGGCCTTCCTCTTTTCCTTTTCCCTTCACGATTCCAAGTTAGGGCTTGCCTCATGGCTCAGTTTGATGATTTACACAATGTATGTCCTATTGGTTCCCATTTCCTTTCTTGAATATTTTCCATGGTTTTGATAGAGGTCTCTTCCTTATGATGATAATTCTTGCGATCCAGAACCTCCTGACATGTTGAAGTTAGTACTTCTTTGATCCATTTCCAGTTATCCCCCATAGTAGTTTCTTTTTCTCTGAGTAGATCTTGTAAGGCTTGGAACATTTTGTTGAGAACTATCTTGAACTCGTTGAGTTTGTCAGTATCTTGATGGAAGGCTGTGTTGAACCTTTGTAATTCTGCTTCCGTAGTTGTCCAGTGTTTCTTTAGCTTCGATTTCATCTTCGCAACCACTACGTGGTGAAATGAAGCTATGTCAGCTCCTCTCCTGGTTCTCATATCTTCCATTCACCTTTTGAATTTTTTACTGATGCAAATATGGTCGATCTGATTCTGTGTAGTTTGATGCGGTGAGACTCATGAACTTTGTGTATACGTCTGTTGGGGAATATTGTGCCGTCCATAATCATTTTGTTGAATGCACATAAATTTGCAAATCTTTCCCCATTTTCGTTTCTCTCACTCAGACCATATCGTCCCATGACATCCTCATTTCCGACTTTGGCATTTAGACCTCCTGTCAAGATGGTGAGGTCTTTTATTGGGCACTTCTCTATGATTGATTGCAGCCTTTCTGAGAACTGATCTTTATTGTCGTCGCTGCTACCATTGGTGAGTGTACAACATTGGATAATATTCATTGTGATTTCCCCTTTTGCTAGATCTTTTCTGGATCCATGAGATTCCCACCAAATAAGCGCTTCATGTGCTTCATTGGACAGCATCAGAGCAACGCCCTGAGTGTGTGGAGTATTTTCTTCTTCGTGACCAGAGTACAGCAGCATCTGTCCCGAATCTAATCTTTTCTGTCCAGCTCGGATCAAATGGGTTCCACTGATTTCAAGCACCGTCAAGTATCCCCTTATTGCCGTAACTATTTGACTGCTACTCCTGGTCTCCCACATTGTTCGAACATTCCATGTACCTATATTAACTATTCGTCTGGTTGTTAGAAGGGGTATGGTCGTCATGACTTCCGAAGGATCTCGGCTTTCATCATGAGGTATCATTAACTCTTCCTTCAACTCGGAAGGCAGAGTTTAAATGGTTTAATTTGTTTGTTCTGGTTACCGTATTTTTAGCAACGTCGTTTTCTGCGGGATGGGGTTGCCAACCCCATACCCAACACTCCTCCTTTACCCGGTCTTGGGACCGGCAGCAACCTTAGAGGTGCCACAGGTGGAGTTCAGACTAAATTAGTCGGAATGGAATACCAAACCGAAACCGAAAGCTAAAGAATGTGGCGGTGTACTGACAGAATCATAAGAAACGATAACTACCCAGAATTTAACTCCATACCAACTCTTTTGAATTACAGTCCCACTTTATTCTATATAAACAAACAACTGTTTGTAGCATCGATCAGAATGGAATATAGTAATGAATGTTTGTTAAACTTGGGTCGAAAATAGGTGATCAGTGAACAGAATGAAGATACGAATTATTATGTAAATAATGGTGTCTGCTGTGACTAGATATTGACAACAATATTAAGATTAAGTAAGATCTGTCACAATTGATTGATCACTGGGTGGTGATCAATGTCATGCTTGTCTAGTCCTTATTAGTGCAGATCGAATGCTATCGATCATGTCGCAATGTGGCTACCAGTCCAGGGTTTCCTGTTGACTAGACAAGCATGACATTGATCATCACCCAGTGATCAATCAATTGTGATTACATCTCAGTCCTACAGGTGGTTAGTCACGGCTCGGATAGCTTAGTTGTAACCTCTCTGACTGTGAAGTTAGGTGACACGAGATCAAATCCGCCAGGGAGCACCAGTTCCCTCAAGATTACAGGTACACCTTGCTGACGAGTGCCAAGTAGTACGAAACCCGGGTCCAGGGTTTCCTGTTGACTACCTCCAACTACCATCTAAGTAAGATCTGTCTACAATAATAAATATAATGGAATAACTAACATTAAATTAACAAACCTACCTCACGTATATGATGTACAATGGTATCTAAACAATTGATTATACTAGCCCATTCTAAAGATGTTAATTTATACTCTGAGAAACTACCTTCCTGTGATAATAAAGATTGATCATGATAATGTAGGTTACAATTAACTCGAAGTTTTTCAACTAAACAATTAGTTAAATGAATAATTAAATGTGGAAGATATAGACTACGAACATTAGGATATATATCAATTGGTAAACAATTCAAAAAGAAATTTATTATAGAACACCATTGAATTAATGATAATTTCAATGATGATTGTTGCCAATTATCATATTCAATGGATGATGATAATGATGATGACATAATCTTATTAGGATGTATATTCATTGATCCGATTGTATTGACTGTTATAGTTGATGATAAATTCAATAACTCGGTAAATTGATTTTCAATAAATTTCCATAAAAATTCACTACTTATATTACTGAAAAATAAATGTGATGTACGTAAGAATTCATCAACAACATTATTATTAGTAGTATTAGTATTAGTAGTAGTAATAGTTGTATGATTATTAGAATGTTGTATTGAAATCTTATTGATATTTGAATCATTTGAAGGTAATGAATCTTCTCTATCGACTAAAGTTGTTCCATTATATTCTAAATTTCTACCTTGATTATCTATTCCTGGAATAAACGAAAAGCATGAATATTTTTTTTAAAAAGAAAGATAGATAAAGAAACTACGCGATTTTAAAATGTATATTAATAGACGATGATGATGATGATTATAAGTTTTATTCCCAGTAAAGTATAGATGTATGAAGTCGGCTTTGAGTTATTATTTAATGTCATAGGAAAGGTATCTGGATTGGAAATCTAATGGTTAAGTTAAATTGAATTAAATGGCAAACTTACATAAAAATATGGCATACCAGTTTTCGGACTGATTATTGATCACACTCAGTCAGTCAGTCAGCAACAATGTAGAACTTCGTACGTACATACGTACATCAGTTCGAGTTGCCATACCACATTAGCACAGAGATACAATTGTCGATTCAATTGTCTGATAATATACGGAATTTGTGCCTAACAACATGACTCAGTCCACTTGTCAGTGACTTCATGGATTTGTGCCACGTTTTGGTCTGACCACCCCTAGCTTTCTTACAACCAACTTCTATACCAGAAAACATCGCACGTCGAGAGAGGCCGTGGTTAGGCATACGTAACACGTGTCCCAGCCATCTCAACTGATGAAGTTCCACTACTTCATCAATTCATTCGCCATCCTTACATAGTACACATTTCCTAACAACTGAATTACTTACTCAGTTGTCCCATGATATAACAGTAATGCTTCGAAGACATCTATGATCGAATACTAGTAGCCTACAAATATTCTTCACTCATACCGGCCACGTTTCACTGCCATAAAGTAGGACGGAACGAACTGCTGTTCAGTAAACACGTCCTTTGGTTGATAGATGGATATCTCACCTACGCCATAAATGACGCAAGTTGGCAAAAGCTAGTCGAGCCTTCTGTATCCGTGCTGAGGTTTCGTCACACACCAGACCACAAGGGCTGATGAGATGATGATCACACTGTTAAAAGTACATTGTGATATTTTGATACATAGTGACTGGGTAAATTAGTGATTATAAAGAAGTACTAAACAACCCTATGTCTGATACTACAACTCATTATAACATACTTATTGGCAATCGCTCGACCACAGCTGGCATTCTTATGTGGTGACTGGTGAAAGCCCAATCGAGTTATACTGGGCGGAACACATTTTTTGAGGCCCTATCATACCAAACAGGCTAGCTGTATATTGGCAAGAGTGAGATCAGCACGCATAAGGTTCGAGGAGGAAGTTACACTTTCAACTGTAAGGGGAGGTAGTAGCACCTAACAACATTTAATTCACTGACACGAATTCCGTATATTATCAGACAATTGTATCTCTGTGCCAATGTGGTATGGCAACTTGAACTGATGTATGTACGTACGAAGTTCTACGTTTTTGCTGAGTGACTGATCGGACTCCTGGGGTCTATAATTACGCTCTCATGCCAAAATGACTTCACTACTCATCTACCTTCTTTTTCAAGTCCCTTAAGAAAAGACTTCCGTTCGCAGATTTTGTAATTGAGACTTATCAACCATCCTACATACAACTCCAACAGTCTTTCCACCTTATACTAAATGGAGAAAAATATTTAAAAAACTTCAAGTATATATTACACAAACAGATATATGAAGATTACAGATAGCAGTAAGAAAAAGAACTTACGTAAACTCGATGGTTTTGCACTATCACGAATTAAAATATAATCTTTAATTAGATTTGTCATATTACTTGGTAATTGTTTATCACATAAACTTGGTCGATTTACTAAATCTGATATAGTTAATGTTGAATCACGATGTGATGATTTATTGATTTGGTTTGAATTCATCAAACAACATGTAGTTTGCCAACGTAATTTTAAATAACCTTCATAAGTATACCACATTATATCTAATAATAAATTATCTAAAAGTCCATGCGCTATATCTGGATGATCAGTTAGACCGACTAAAACACGAAATGGACGCTCGGAAATGCTACGTTCTATAACTAGAAATAAATATTAATTGGTGATTAAGGGTACATTGGTGAAAGAAATAAACAAATAAACGAGATTTTGCGAAAATTGATTTAATTTGTAGTTATAAGTCGCCTCAGATCAACCTCATCTGGGTTACTAATGAAAACCAAGGAGTACTAGATAACTATTCCATTCTGCAAGACATGAAGGTCCTGACTTTGATACCTCTTGGAGTAGTGGGTTCACACTGTTGAGGAGTTCTATACCAGAACGAAACAGCTATTTAATACTCCCTGGTTTTCAGGAGTAAACCAAATGAGATCAATTTTTGACGAACACTGCCTACAAAACATAGATTCATTAAAAAAGTGGTTACTTAACTTTAGTAGTAAACATAAATAGATTTATGGTAACGGTGTTGTAGATTGTCATTCTGAGCAAAAAACGTTTATGCATAAATTCTAACTCCAATAGAAATTTAAACATGAGATACATGTAAAAAAATACGAGGTTGACATTTGAAAATTGAGGAATGAAACTTTTAATCTCCCAACCTTCAACCTTGATTTCGTCGATCTTCCATTGAATCATGAGTAATGAGATTATTTCACAATTTACATCACATGATTTCAATCATTGTTTCCAAACAATACTCTGCATCATCAGTTCACCATCACAAGTGGTTATATTAATTCAACTCGTGCTTTCAACCTTAATTTTCTTATATTGTATTAATGCGAAGTATGAACTAGCAGATAACTGTGCCACATCCTATGAGTTTGGTAGTGATCATCCAAACGGTTAACATATGGCCCCCAAATGCCCTGGTACGGCCAAGAGTGGGGAGAGTTCGCTCTCCCTCTCCAAATGCTCTCACATGGCCACACGTATATAGCCCCTGCCAGGGAAGTCATACTCACTGCCTCCTCGTGGCGGGGGTGTTGTTTACGAAAATGGGAGGACGAAAAGCGAATGTCCGGTGCTTTACCCGGATTCCAAACTAATGGTGCACATATGCTCCAGTATCCTGCGGGAACAAATGGCGTATGAACCAATTGTTGGTCACCGGCTTCCATGGGACTACCTTCTGGATCAGACCTTCAGGTCGAAGGCTCCATGTGTGGCCCCCTGAGAAAACCACCTGCTTCGGTTTGGGCACCCGGGCAGTATCACAGCCCTCACACATATCGAATGAGATTTGTGTGGCGCATATGTATTTAGTACCTCATTGTACCAATATCTATGTGTTAAAATAAATAAATAAATAATCTGCTGACATCGAAACTACGCAAGAAGAATCCAATGGTACTGTTTCATACACGTGAGTGTGCATTGTTTATGAGCGTCCACAAGTTTGTCACAACTCCATATTAGGAGAAACGTAACTTCTTGGTTTCAAATGATACAAAACATGTCTCAGCCTACAAACCAATAGTATTCCTATGACCTTCGTATGCAGTGACATATCAAACTAAATAAAATCTATGCTGATTGTATTCCCTTTATGAACATAATCTCTAATAGGAAGTAGTATTATATGAATTTCTCTATTGTTGTTTTATCAAGATGTTGGGGATGTTAGATCCTCAGAACTCACTCGGTAAATACCTTAATTTTGTAGTTTTATTTTGAAATTTTGAACTTCTTTGTTTTCGCGCCAAAAGCACTCTTTTCACCTTCATGTTATATTCCCTACTCAGGAGAATCATAAAAGCTATTGATCCGTTGTATCTTTTAGTATGCTATTTTGTAACGCTTCCCAGGGACAGTTTTATGCTGTATATATACGTTTGATTTGTGCCTGTTGTTATCATTCGTGCTTATGGCTGCTTGTGGAATATATTTCCCCGTTCGAACTTCGACTTCTCTCTCTCTCTCTGGTTAGCGGGGTTGGAACGTATCAGAATAGCTAGCTTATTGGTCTTTGGTCACAGAGTCTTTGTTCCGTTCACAGACTAGGTGAACTCGTAATCACTTCAAAAATAGCACAAGAATAATTTCTTTCATGAAACTTTTTTTAAAAAATCTGAATAAAAATTTACCTAATGCAGATAAATCTGATCCAAATGTGAATTTCGCAGAGAAATTCAAATGATTTTCATTGAATTGACATGGTATAGGTAAACAAGTAGGATTATAGATTAAACGACGTACAGCTTCTGTAAGAATTATTTGTGAGTATAATTTAAAATAACGTTGACTATTATTTTCATTTTTATCATTTAATGCCTAAATAATACCATAAAGAATGAAAACAAAAAACAAACAGTTAAACTCATTTAATGGTTGTTTATAATACACAAAATATAAATATCCACCTTAAGTTCTACTTTTAGATATGACTTATTATACAAATATTGAATTAATTGACATGCATAATACAGGAATTGATAAACAGTAATGATAGTAACATGAAGAGACAATCACATCTGATATTACTTCCCGACCGCAGCCGCTAATTTGACGTGGTGGTCGACTCGCTTATTTTAATGATTCAACCGAGTACTATTGGCCAGAACACATATTCCTTTAAATACTGCCATGCCAGCCAAGTCGGTTGGAGAACGTTAAAGCTAAAAGCAGCAACCTAACGCTCTAGGGCGAGGGCTGATTACTGACCGCACAGAGGTCTGACAACAGTAATATTCGAACTTTGAGTGAGATAGGGAAATAGGTTTCTTTAGCTACGACTCTAGAATCTTGTCATCGATGTATGTTGCGTCTCCGAAACGAGCGTACAGGACCCAAGTAGAGTCATTCATTTTACCTAGCCATGTCAAAATAAAAAACACGATTTATGTTCCAAGTATCTGAGGACCCCACGGCTACTTCCTGTGGCATATCTGATGTAGGTATAGCATTAAGTTCAAAAGCAGAACAGGTTTTTTCAGACTTGATTCCAGTAGACAGTTACTTGTGCGCCGTCCGACTAAACGGGATAGTAATAACTCAAAAAGATAGAGACACACGCCGTTGTCTCTGCATATTCGCCCACTGACTGCAGCTCGGATGAAATTAAAGATGAATTCTACAGGAAGCCATCCAACCTCCATTAAAAAGCTAAACGTTTCGATGTAGTAATAATGGCGGGTGATTTTAATGATTAATTAGGTAGGCTAAACCAAATCGAAAGGCACTTAGACGGATGTTGCGTTGTTGCATCTCAGCAGACAGATAATGATGACCGTCTGCTGCAACTATGCTTAAATAAACGTCCATTTCTATAAAAGGACCAACTTTAAATGTGGGGAGAAACATCATCTGACGTGATGACCCCCACAATCGACTCATCGATGGACTCAATTAGACCACATTGCCACCATTCATCGTTGGAGAGACTCGGCAGAAGACTGCTGGTCATTTTGGGGTACATGTTGATGCTCGGATTATACCATAGTTCCGGCACGCATTTATCCGCAACTTACTGGACGTAGAAAAGCTACAGCAAGAAGATCCCTCAGAGTCCAACCTAATGATGAAAATTTTTTCGGAAGCAACAAGAAAATGTGCTAGTCAAACATGAAATGATATCCACCTCGAGGTAGCTTGGTATGATATATATATATATATATATATATATATATATATATATACAAATCTTTTATAAATAACTTACCAATACATGTTTATCATCCATTTTATCCATGACTATGTCTGCCCATGTCATTGATTGGTTATCTAAACTATCCACAACCATTCCCTCAACTGACTGGCTACCTTTAAGCCAAATAAATAAACGACGATTCAAAGATGCATCACGACGTAGTAAAATAGACAACGAAGCTGTACATAACATAGCGAAATCTTTCACTGTTAACGATTTGTTGGTGATAAACTGAAATGGATTACGCTCTGTTGTTTTCGAATAAAAATGTATTGGTAATGCTAACAGAATAAAATCAAGGGCATCACGTTGTACTAGTAGAACACTGTCACCGAATAGACAACATAAACTCTCTACCTATAAAAAGATAAATTAGACAGTAAATATTTACACTGAATGGTTAGTATTATTAATATTATCAGTACGTTGAACAAATCTTTCATCTCAAGATATTTTATATTTTCTATCAGGGATATTTTATCTATTAATAAGTATTTATCTTATTCTATTTAAGCGCATAAACATTGGTACAAGGAGGCATGAAATACATAGGCACCACATAAATCATTCGATTTGTGTGAGGGCTGAGATACTGCCCGGGTGCTCAAACTGAAGCAGGTGATTTTATCAGGAGGCCACATCTGGAGCCTTCGACCTAAAGGTCTGGTCAACAAGACAGTGGAACAACATCATGAGATGCAGTTCCTTCGTAGACGGTGACCAACAATAGGTTAATAGGCCATTTGTTCCCTTAGGATCCTGGAGTCCATATGCATCATTGTTTTAGAATCAGGATATTCCCACTTCCCTAGGTGGATTCCCCATATCCATTAACCCGGTTAAAGCCAATGCCGGACATTCAGTTTTTGTCCTCTCGACTTCATAAAAAAAACACCCTTGCCGCAAGAAGGCAGTGAGTAGGACTTCCAGGGCAGTGGTTGTATGTACGTGGCTATGTGAGAGCATTTCGTATTAATAAGTAGGTGTTCTTTAATGAACACTAAAAGATTTGAAAAACATGCATATTTTAGACGAAATACTAATGATCATTTTGGTATGAGAAAAATCATCTAAGAATTCAGTCTAATGCATAAAATGTATACACCAAAAGACAATTATTCTCATTTAAATGCCAAGTTCAATGAAGGCAAAATATAATAAGTTGGAATCAAGTTCGTTAAGTAACGAATACTCAACACATATCCTTATATCAGAAGGGGTTTTGTGGATATTATAGTAATTTTAATAATTGAGATCATGAATCAATTGAAGCTTGACTACGATGGAAAATCTGTGCCCATCCACGATCCCAACTCGCGAGATTCGAACCCAGGATCTATAGGTCTCATGTGCGAACGCCTAACCTCTAGACCACTAAGTCAGCATTCTTATAACTATCAAATTTAAAACTAGAAATAATCAGTAAACCTTTTAAAGTACCAGATGGAAATTATTTACTTCCTATTGATAATGAAAAATTAAAATTATTATGAAATTCGTACTGATAATGTTGTTCAGAAGAATGATGGAAGCTCCATGACCAAACCCATTTAGCTTAGAGAATAATACTCCATCAAAACCTACCTACATACAAGCATAAAACTAACAAAACAACAAATAAATAATTAGAAAATTTTGTTTAACTTACAAGAATATTTTTATCTAAACCATAAATATAACTTTGACTATCTAATGATTTACGTTTGTTTAAATGATTGAGTATAAATGAAATTCCATATTGTCGTATAGATGGACATCGAATTAGAAGCTTTAAAGCGAAGGAAATAAAATCGGATTACAGAGGAAAGTATACTGGAATAAAAAATATCAGTGATTTGATCAACTGAGAACATTGGTTAACTCTTCAGAACAATCTTCAAATGTTACTTACTTACATACGCCTGTTACACCTTATCGAGGACCATAGGCTGCCCACCAGCATTCTCCATCCAACCATGTCCTGGGCAATCCTTTCCAGCTCTTTCCAGTAGTTATTCATATTTTTCATATCTGCTTCTATTTCCCGACGTAATGTGTTCTTTGGCCTTCCACTTTTCCGCCTTCCTTCAGGATTCTAAGTTAGGGCTTGTCTCGTGGTGCAGTTTGACGATTTGCATAGTGTATGTCCTATCCATTTCCATCGCCTTTTCCTAATTTCCTCTTCAGCTGGAAGCTGGTTTGTTCTCTTCCACAGAAGGCTGTTGCTGATGGTATCCGACCAACGGATGTTGAGTATCTTGCGTAGACAGCTATGTATAAATACTTGTACCTTCTTGATGATGGTTGTTGTAGTAGTCCTCCAAGTTTCACCTCTGTACAGCAGAACCGTTTATACATTCACATTGAAGATCGTGACTTTGATATTGGTTGAAAGTTGTTTGGAGTTTCATATATTCTTCAGTTAAATGAATGGATTAATTCTTGTTCAATAGAAAATTACTAAATAGCTCAAGTAAACCAACGGGTCAAGTGTTGTATACCTAACTGGATAATTACCAATTTTGTTACTAATTTTAGTATATTTCAAGAAGCTTTTATAAAATCAATTTTGTAGATAAACCTTTAAATATCCTTTTTTCCTGTAACTATATTAGCCTTGAGATTAAAGCCAATTTTGACACTTCCCACATTTCACAATGTCTATTTTTATGTTCTGACTGAATTCCGTCAACTGAACAACAACAAATATGTAGTAGGTAGAACTCAATTACAGCCAATGGTGAAGGAAAAAAGATATTGCTTTCTATTCAAAGCGTTTGCTGTATCAAAATTCTGATGAAAGTCAGTGACAACTAGAATATTATAATGATGGCCAATTGACAGCTTTCAATAATCTAGTACAAAACAAACTACATGAATCTTGATCTGTCACAATGATATATTCCAAGTGACAATCTCTACAGCAAAAGGCTTCCCAGTTATTCTGATATGCCGTGGAGTAGGGATAATCAATCCTCATTCATGAAATGCTCCCATAAGACAGCGCGTCTATAGCCTTATTTCACGGAAGTATAGCAGTACACAGCACGGTACTACATTAATACAACAATCAGTGCATTAGAATGAATAATAATAATAAAATGAAGAGAAATGAAAAGAATTTAGTGTATAAGAGAAGGATAATAATAATAGTGGGAGAAGCAGTTAAGAAAAATACAACTAGAAAGCATTCTTTTACTTATAGAAGTTCCTTTCACTTAAATGAGGAAATTAAAGGACACTTATAACACGTTTGCCATTATCTTCTATATTGGACCATGTCTGATAACGTCTCAAGCCACTGTGCGTAATTATCTACACGACTCCAACTAGGTATTCGTGAAGGACCAACAGAAGCCATTCATATACAGCTTTCTTTCATAACACGACATATCATAAACTGATCGACTCTACTTTTTCAAACTAGTCCCAGAGTCAGCAAACAATGTACGACGTGGAACTCGCTGTGACGACATCCTTAGTACACGTCCAAGCCACCAAAGTTGATGTTTCAAGATAGTGACGCCAATTGAACATACAGTGCTGAATCCCTTCATTACTAACATAGTGTTGTCACTGGATGTCAGCGAACCTTCGGAGACAACAATGATCAAACACAAAGAGCCATTTAACATCAACTCAAAAAGACCAGGTTTCACAAGCATAGATCAAAACTGCTCTCACTGACACGCTGTAGCAGGAATAACATCATGAAGGCACCAAAGATGGCCCAGATCGGCATAAGCCGCCCTGGGTTTCGCTAGACGTGAATTGATCTCATCTCTCACGCAATCACCAGCATTTACGCAGCTACTGAGATACACGACCTTTCCTAATTTCCTATCTGCTCACTACAAAGAGTGAGTTCAGGTAAATGTTCCCTTCAATTTTGTAGAAGTACTTTGCACTTGTAAGGCGCAAAGCACATGTTAAACCTACAGACACCGATTACCAACTGATTAAGTGTGGATTTCATGACTTGAAAAGAACAATGGAGAGAGGTGGTCGTATGCCCTCACTCTACCTAAGGTATTTGTATATAGAACCTTCATGATGTTAATACGTTTATCAGGCACACCCTTCTTCAACAGACAATCCTAGAGAACAATCCTGTCCAATGAATCGAAGGAAGCACTAATGTCAAGAAACACTACAATTGTTGGTCTGTAGTAAGTATAATAGTGTCCTAACATTTGGCGGGTGATATGATTAATACATTCTCGACCAGAACGAAAATCAGCCTGCTCCTCGTGAGTCAATCCTTCCCAGATTTTGAACAATCTACGAAGTATGATGGAAGCTAATAGTTTGGAAGCACTCGAAAGTAAATTTACTCCATGGTAGTTGTTGAGTAGGCAACGTAAACTATTTTTAAAGATAGAGACGACTGTTAAATTGTCCCGGGAAGTTGGAACACTCTCTAATTCTCAAAACTTGCAAACAACTCAATTCAATAACCAGAAAGTCGCCACTGTCTTTAAAAAAGGTCGGAGGTAAGTTGTCTAGGCTTGGTGATTTGTAGCGTTTCAAAAGATGGAGCACCTTGTGAACTTCCATATCGTTAGGTAGATCAGTCGACACTAACCAGGAAAGATAAAAAAAGTCTCATTAATGTCACCGGAGCAACAGAATAACTAAACTGTTCCTCAAAAAACTCTATGTACAGCACAAGACGTCGGTAGATGTTACTGATTGATGTTATATAATTTTCACATATTGTTTCACTCACACAAGACTTCTAGCTGCCAGTCACTCGAATAAATTGAAAGAGGTTCAGACAGTTACTAGATGCAGCTGCTGTTTCCAAACGGTTAGCATGCTCAGACCACCAAGATTATCGGTTCTTACGCAAACTTCAGTTACAGTGTAGTGAAGCAGAACACAAGTGAGGACAACCCATTATATTTAGCACAAAATTCGAGTTACTTGATATAATAGAAAAACATTCCAATACTTTATTTACAAAATGTTCATTAATTGTTCCTACATTTCCATACTAATTGCTTTCTGTTCGCGTTCTTCCCTCCTCGATCTTCTGAACCTTCTGTTGCCAAATATTCTATTCCTGATTAGCTCTATATACTACTTATGTCGACATAAGTAGCACACACTACAACAGTATGTAACAATCTACCTCCATTATCAAACTCGCGGTTACCCAGAGTAGACGGACATGCCCCAGAGAGTTATAAGGGGCTTCTAGAAAACCAGTGGTTATAAACGACGACTTTACTCGCCAGTTTCATAGTCATGCTATTGAAACTAATGTTCATCTGTACTTATTAGTGGGTAGATAGCTAGCCTTGAATCTAGCTCGGTTTGGCACTTAATTGCAACAGAAGCTGCAACTGATCCGTTTAGGAAGATGAATTTGTTGGCCACTAAAATACCTTTCTTCCTCTAAATTTTGCAAGCAACAAACCCGCCACGAGAAAGCAATGAGTAAGACTTCATTTTAATCAGGATGAAATTTAGAAATATGTAGTGCGATATGTCATCATCTCATACAAGCAAAAAGTCATATTACCTCCCACAAACACGTATAAAAGAATGCAGATCCCACAGAGGAACTGAACATTTCTAACATTCGATTTCCACGTTCAGAGAATTCCGCGCCTGGTTCCAAACCCGGTAGTAAGCCCTGGAAAAACAATATCAGAATTACAGCGGTTAATAACATACCTATACGTTATGGCACTAATATTCATATCAAAAGTACACTAAGAAGGTAAACACACAATGAATATGACCGGCTTTATTCCCAGACCAACTAGATGAACAAACAATCATTAAAAAAACAGAATGAGTATCACACTAATTTTTTCGGGTAAAAAAGTTTAGTAATTAATTATCGTTGTCTGTGAAATGATATGTGTTGAAAGTATCAAATTTAGGAGTGCTATCATATCATAATTTTGTGAGATGTCATCACGTCAGTAGGATCTGTCATTCATTAAGCTATTATCAAAACAGGTTAGTCACTAACATTTTCATATACACCTAAAATGCCACTGAATCGTTAACCTCCGTTTTCCGACTACATTCTCCGCGTTTTATATCAATCGACTTTACTGACTTTGATTTTACTTTCCCGTTAATAGTTCCACTAACATTTCAGTTTACTATGTGATTCTTTATTTTCGAAAACATGGTGACTCGACAAGTCTACACTGTGCAATATCACTGGTGTTGTCGATTATTTGGTACACTTGACTGTGCAACTCTATCTCTAAACCTGTGACTCGCAATTCGATACTTAAAACCTACATGATAGGAACCTAAGCAACAGTCACTTCAGATAATTTAAGTTGGTCGGATAATGACGTCGACCAAGCCTCAAAGATATGTTAGGATAGTGACTAAGGTAGAGATATTGCGACTAAATTTGGGCTACATAAAGTTAGTTTTAACCAAGCAGAATTTATTTGAATTCACAATCACAATTTATCAATCGAAGATTGAAGAAATGATAACATCGGGAGCCATTTTACAGATTATCATTATATATATTCTTATAGTATAGTTAGTAAATAGCTGGATTACTAAGTCTCTATACTTTATTTACTGTAAGCTTTCGTTTAACGCATTAATTATTACTATACAGGTTACTATACCTAATTTACTACCAATCAATTATTTACAGCCTAACCTATTTACAACGACGTTTGGATTGTTTCTGTACAACAGTAATTTTTTAATTAGTGGTGTGATGTGGCTCAGTATGTTTGTGTGCTTGAAATATAACACAACAGAAGCTGGCATTCAAGGCAGAATGTAAGAGCTTACGGAGAGCAGATCGATAGGAGTTCAGCTTGCATTAGACTGAGGTTACTGTGTAGATCAAATAGTCGACACAAGATAGAAAAATTATAATCATAAATCTGATTGGTGAATTAAACACGTGATATCGATTAACGTCTCAAGTCATAACCATAAATACTACTAAAAATAGTACCAAGTGATTATTTCATCGCACCGTAGACAAGTAACTGAAGAGCAGTTAAGCTTATGAAAATTACTTGATGACTGACTTTATAAGTTCGCGCAAAAAAAACTTAATAGCCAAACTATGTCCCATAACAGATGGTCGTGGTGATATATAAAAGAAAATCTGTTTAAAACTTGACAACTGTTTTTGGTTGTGTTCACTAAGACATGATGTCAAGCAATGAAAGTCGTAACTAGCGAATATAAAGCTAAATACTAAATTATGTATTTAGACGAGACCTTGAATAAAAAGCATATGTATTTACACTACAAAACATGTGAAACGTATATAAAACACCAGGACACACCATACATATGATAATGACCATTGGCAATACTTTATTTAGCTATGCAAGATTATATTAATACCGATGGATCGAGATGAATAGTCATTTGATTGAGAATAAATAACTTAAACTTATGAAACATATCTACTCATATGTAGTACACGAAAGCGGGTGGAAAATGCACTGTTGTAGGACTATCAAGAATATTGTATTATTTAGAAGGCTTAAAATCAAACCAAGCAGTTATATTGAACAAAGCTAAAACAACAACGGAGCCAGTTCTATTGACATTAATTGGAATGAGGAAAAAAGAACAACCCATTGTACCTTTAATAGTCCTAAAAATGATGGATGAAGCAATTTCCCAAGAGGAAGCAAGTGTTCTTCATAAATATCAAACAGCGGTGACTTAACCGTCATAGCAGATGGCTCGAGTAGCGCAAACAAGCCTGGACCATAAACATACAAATCATAGGCGACACGTTCAGGTCCAATAGTGCGGAAAATTACGTCGTAACATTCTAACGCTTTGCAATGAACACCAGCCGGTAGAGCAGGATGAAGACATTGGGCGAGACGTTTACCAATAACAAAACTTCGAGGAACGTAACCACATTTTGTATTTGACTGAATGACCTACAATTCATTTTTAAAATAAAATCGAAGTATATGAGTGTTAAAAGTAAACTGGATGGGCAATAGTAATTAATAACATTGCTAGTTAGTTTGTCACAATTTTTTATTCATATATTACATACATTTAAAATATGTGGATAACTTTAATACCCAGAGATTGAAGTACATCATATGTATAGAAAAACTGCGAAGCAAAAAGCTAATCAACAGGAAATTCTCAGTGTAAAGAGGAAGTTGGTGTTGTATGTTTACCGAAACACGTGGTAGTATTGAAAACATATCATTACACCAAACGTTATTTTTAACAACAATCAGAAGGAAAACAAAACAGAATGTTAAAAACCAGAAGGGGATAAGTATCACCAAACGAACGAATGAGAAATGCTTTGTTTCAAATTGGTTAGTGAGACTGTTAATCTTCATCGGCTGTGGTTGGAACATGAATTAAGCATCATCAACTAGACCCTACATTGATGCAAAATATTGGCTAGAGTATGAATAGGTTAAAAGAAAACCCAAGCCACCCAAATCAAGATATAACATCAGTCTATGAAATCAATGGTCGTTGATTTGAGCCATGTTGGTACGTGCGAATTACCTAGTCGTGGGCCCATACGATAAGCGTAATAAGTGAAGACATTTAGTGACACGGTTCAGAATTGGTCACAGCGAGATAGATCTATTAAATCTTTACCTTCTCCAAAGCTTCATTATTTCGTACGTTTACCCAGAAAATTCATCCTCACTTTTTGAAATAAACTTTCCAATACTTGATTTTTTTCACTACCAATGATAACATCGTCTGTAGGGTTACTGCCGGTCCCAAAACCGGGTAAAGGAGGTTTGGATCTACGAGAGGCTGCAATCAATCATAAAGAAGTGCACAATAAAAGACCTTACCATCTTGATGAGAGATCTAAATGCTAAAGTCGGACATGACGATATCATGGGACGACATGGTCTGGGTGAGAGAAACGAAAATGAGGAGAGATTTGCAAGTTTATGTGCATTCAACAAAATGATTATGGACGGCATAATATTCCCCAACAGACGCATACACAAAGTTCATGAGTCTCACCGCATCAAACTACACAGAATCAGATCGACCATATTTGCATCAGTCAAAAATTCAAAACGTGAATGGAAGATATGAGAACTAGGAGAGAAGCTGACATAGCTTCATATCAACACGTAGTGGTTGCGAAGATGAAATTGAAGCTAAAGAAACACTGGACAACTACGGAAGCAGAATTACAGAGGTTCAACACAGCCTTCCATCAAGATACTGACAAAGTTGACGAATTCAAGATAGTTCTCAACAAAAGGTTCCAAGCCTTACAAGATCTACTCAGAGAAAAAGAAAATATTATGGAGGGTAACTGGAAGTGGATCGAAGAAGCACTAACTTTAACGTGTCAGGAGGTTCTGGATCGCAAGAAGTGTCATCATAGGGAATAGATTTCTATCAAGACCATGTAAATTATTCAAGAAAGGAAATGGGAATCAATAGGACATACATTGTGTAAATCATCAAACTGCGCCACGAGGCAAGCCCTAACTTGGAATCGTGAAGGGAAAAGAAAAAGAGGAAGGCCATGGAACACACTCCACCGAGAATTGAAAGCAGACATTAAAATGATGAATAGCAACTGGGAAGGGTTGTCCCGGACAGGGTTGGATGGAAAGTGCTGATAAGCGGCCTATGCTCCTCTACGACGGGTAACAGGCGTAAGTAGTATGTAAGTATGTCAGTGATAAGCGTCGTACGATCTGGAACATGAGAGTCGGTTTAAGCCGCCGCACCACGTCAGTACGATATGAAATTATCAAGCCGAATGCCAGAGTAGCAGATGTGCTAACTGTTTGGTGGCAGCAGATAAGATTCGATATAGACGAAGTGATTCAAAAAAACATGAATTTTTGTAATGGTCCGAAATTCGACAAATGAAGGAAAACAAATAGTGAATATACTTTTGAAATTGTGGTTGATTCCTATCCTAGAAACCCGTCCCTAATCTCTAGTCACGATAATTGCAGACACTGATCGAGTAACATATGTTTACTACGATGCCTCAGCTCAACAGCCAACGACTTTATAGATCGACGTCACATCTTGGTTTGGTTTCTCCTATATTTTTCTCAGCCTACTCCTACATTAGCAAACATCGCGCGTTGAGGTAAGATGTAGTTGGACATACGTAATACATGTGCCTACATTTCGGCCTCAACATATGAGCGCAATGGCAACTCGAACTGATGTACGTACGTACGTAGTTTTACGTTACTGACTGACTGATGAGCTCAACGCTTCAAAGGTACCTATGACTAAATACCTACGACCCACAGATGTTGTATTTGTAGCGGCTATGCCTCACAACTGCGGAAGAGAGCAGAGCAAACTACTCATTAAATTCGTCTGACTAACATGAGAACATCTCGCCCACGCCACGAGCGGGGGATATTACTAAAAAAACAAACAGAGACCGTGCACAGACCTTATCAGGAACGAACCCACTAGAGTAAAATGCTTCTAAACTCTATGAGATTTTTAAAAAAATTGCACGGAAATTATGGCCCAATATGACCCAGCTGTTAATTCAGACTAAGGACCTTGAGCAAAAAATACTCACTTTAATCAGCCGTCCTAGAGCAGATATAAGGTCAGCCCATTCCGTAGAGTATTCAAAACTTTTGAGGGACTTGTCAACTTGTGCAACAAAGCTTTTGTATTTTGCATCTTTTGGTAGATCCAAATCATCCATATGACCTTCACATTCATTAAACGCGGAAAAATACAGTGTGAGTGTTTCGCATTCAGTCTTCAGGAGTAAGGGTAGGAGGTATATCAACCTATGGTATCCTTGCATTTTGTAATACCATAAAGATCCAATCTAACTTCGAACTCATTAGTTTATCCTGTCATTTCTAGCCAGATTTTTACATAAACTATACTTGGAAGTTCATTTACTTACAGTATAAAAAATAAAAGACCTAGGATCCTCTGTCGACAGAGCCTTGGAGTGATCCGATAAGTAATGACTTACGGGATGAGTATTTGGGATTTATCCTTAGTTTCTGTCTACGATAGAAGAAGAAATCCCTGATCCACTTTAGGAGAGGTCTATAGCTTGGTGTAGGTGGTCTTATGAAGTCGATTGATAATTACACCCTTCCAGTCTGTAAGTGACTCATCTTAGCCAGGTGACATATTGAATATTGTAGTCATAGATACAGCAATGTATTTTGCAGTGTGTTTCAAGATTTTGAGGTGTATTTCAACAGGTTACGTTGATTTTTCCGAGTCTAAAACGATAAGTGCCTTTAGCACGTCGTCTCGATTAAAGTCGACAACCCCCCAAAACCCAAAACTAGGTTTGACGCAACTGTTATTGCTTCTACCAACACCGTTGACGAGTGGGTACAGGTTGTAAGGAAGAAAAGTAGGGATATAAAAGGGAACCCTGCCCCCGTAAAAGTAGTTGAAAAATCGAAAGCTGATCATAGCGACAGATCAGCTATTTTTCATAGAATCAAGGAGAACGAGAGCTCTGAACCTACAGCTCATTTTGAGCATGACATTGTACTGATAAGGCAGCTGCTTAATCAACTCATGCCGCAAAATATGACCGGGGTCACCTTGCTAAAGGTGTACAGACTAGGGAGGCTAGCGGACTCGAAATCAAATCATTCCAGACTGCTTAAAGTAGTATTCAGCTCTTCGAACGAACGTGACCTAATTTTACAGAATGGACACAAATTAAAGGGTTCAGGAGTCTTTATCCGAAAGGACCTACCGTTGGCAGACCGTGTTAAAAGACGGGAAGCCGAGAAAGAACTACAACTTAGGTTAGACGCTGGCGAAAAGGACCTGAAAATTGTAAATTTTCGGGTCGTAAGACTTCGACAGAGAATGATGCCGGAGCCACTCTGGGTGAAGCACGAAGGCACTTAGACAGGCTTCGGATCTGTTACACCAATGCACGAAGCTTACTTAATAAGTGATCGGAACTAGGTGTACAGATTGACTCTACAAAGCCAGACATAATCGCAGTAACAGAAACCTGGCTGACAGGCTATAGATAGTATGGAACTTGATTTCGAGGGTTTTACGTTAGTAAGGGCCGACAGAACACAAAAGCGCAAAGGAGGGGAGTATCTCTATTCATTAGGAATTCTGTCCCATTTGCCATTATCGATAGTGTATCCCATGGGAGTGGGACGTGTGAATTAGTTAGTCTTCACTTGAAATGCAAGAGACAAGAGCTGCTGATTGGTTTGGTCTATCGCAGTCCAAGCTGTGAGGCAAATGAGATCCTGTTAGGCAGTCTCAATACTTGGTCCCAAAGTGGTGGATGTCTAATCCTAGGGGACTTCAATGCACCTATGGTAGACTGGGAAAATCTGCGAATTAAATCGTCGGAGAATTCATTCGAGCAGGAACTAGTTGATGGGGTTATCAGCTGGAAGCTGGTTTGTTCTCTTCCACAGAAGGCTGTTGCTCATGGTATCCGACCAACGGATTTTGAGTATCTTGCGTAGACAGCTATGTATAAATACTTGTACCTTCTTCATGATGGTTGTTGTAGTTCTCCAAGTTTCAGCTCCGTACAGTAGAACTGCCTTGACATTCGTATTAAAGATTCTCACTTTGATATTGGTTGAAAGTTGTTTGGAGTCTCATATGTTCTACAATCGTAGGAATGCGGCCATTGCTTTGCCGATCCTTGCCATTACATCTGCATCAGATCCTCCTCATTCATCGATGATGCCTCACAGGTATATGAATGATTCCGAATCTTCCAGAGTTTCGCCATCAAGAGTGATTGGATTCCTGTCCTCCGTTTTGAATTTGAGGACCTTGGTTTTCCCCTTGTGTATGTTGAGGCCTCCTGACGCAGTGACTGCTGCTACCCTGGCTGTCTTTATCTGCATTTGTTCATGTGTATGTAAGATCCATTTTGAAGGTTTTATGTGTTGGTGAAAATCCCTCCATGTATATACTTGTACTTTGCTCCTATTGATTCCCTTAGTTGCACATTGTTGTATTTTGATTACATTTGAGTTGTTAATACTTGTACTTTTTATTATAGTTTTTGTTTTTCTTACGCATTCACTAAGTTTGTGTTTCTTCCTGAACTGCATCTGTGTTGTTTTACTTGACACTTGTTCTTGGCGGTAGCCATATTGATTTGTTCCTCCTGTTGTGTGTGATCTATCCAGCCAGGATAGAATAACGTTGATTTGTTGTGATTGGTAATTTTTCCTCATCTTCTATCAACTTCTTTATTATTGTAATTTAGATTTAATTGATTGAACAATCATTGGTTGAATAGCCGGGTGATAATATTTGTTTAGGTAATGATTTACATTGAATTTATTATGAATTATAGAACCGCTAGTTACCCGATTACTTGTTCTGATTTCGACGGGAAAGGGCGCGTGTCTAACATCCTCTATCGGCTATTCTTCAACATCCAAATCGTAGTTTGGATTCTACAGTTCTAAACAAATAATTAATTGGTCGAACTCGTTTGGCAATCGTTCACGGATTTTCTGGAATTAATTGGTCGTTTCGTTTATAATGCCAGTTAATCGTCGAAGGAGATCAGGCTCAAAGTTCGTCGATGTTAACGAAGAATCCCCTATTGTCAAGCAAGTGCCTTTTGACGTCCTTAAGGGTCATGGTTCAGACTTAAATAGGGTTAATTATCAGGGCAGTGATTCTAGTCTTAATTTGATGTCAGATGATGTAAAAAATCTTAGTTTAAAGGAGGAGCAAAGGCCTGAGTTACTAGGAAAGAGCATGTCGCCTATAGTCCATGTTGTTGGCCCAGAGCTACCTAAGGTTGAGCTGAGTTATTTCGATGGAGAGCCAAGAGGTTATTGGAAATTTATAAGGCAATTTGAGACGTATGTAGCGTCAAGAGTCACGGATGATAGCCAGCGCTTACTCTATTTGATACACTACTGTAAGGGCAAGGCTAAAACAGCTATTGAAGGTTGCGTCATGATGGAGGCATCCTCTGGCTATAAAAGAGCAAGGGAGATTTTAAAACGTTTTTTCGGACAGTCTCACGTAATTGCTCGAGAAACACTAGAGGACTTATTCAGTGCTGTGAATTTTGAGTATATTGACGGGGACCAACTATCAAATTTGGCTATTAAAATGGAAAACTGTGCCATGGTCTTGGAACAGATGAATTATACTTCTGATCTAAATTCCTTAGTTACCTTGGAAAGAATAGTGAGACTTTTGCCTCAACCTATGCAAGCCCAGTGGGCGGACTGGGTGGATAAATTGACTGAAGATAACAGGGAACCGACCTTCGACGAGCTCACTCAGTTTATCGCATCGCGGGCGAGAGTGGCTTGTAGTAGATTTGGACGGTTAGCAAACCGTTCAAGAAAAGGACATAACGTGAGGACGAACTGTCACGTGCAATCAGAGCAAGGGAATAGTTCGACAACGAAAACTAAATGCAGTATGTGTTCCTACGACCATGCCATTGATAAATGTCCACAGTTCTTAGCGCTTACAGTTCAAGACCGATGGTCTCACGCTAAAAGCAAGGGTATCTGTTTCGCCTGTCTTAGACAAGGACATAGAGTTAATGAATGTAAGCTGACAAAGCGCTGTAACGTTGAGGGTTGTGAAAAGAAACACCATTCTTTGTTGCACAGCGAGAGTGAGAAACCTGGTATCTCGAGTTGTTGCGGATATACTAAATCACTAATCAGTCAAGTGTGTTTAGGCATGATTCCCGTACGGTTGAAATCGCGAAAAGCCGAGATTGTGGGTTATGCTCTGTTGGACAACGGTTCTGATGTGACACTGATAAAATCAAACTGTTTGAGGTCTCTCGGGCTGAGCGAAGACGAAGCATCAGTGGTAGTTGAGACTGTGGGCGGTAATAGATCAATGAAGGTCACGAGTGCGCCTTTTGAGGTATATTCTTTAGATCGAGCTGAACATGTTACGATTGAAGGAGCTCTGATTGTGGCAGGTATACCAGGCCATAAGCCAACAAAGTCGGCAGTGAACAGCCTAGTTAAGTGGCCACATTTAAGGGATGTACCGATAGTTAACTTAGACTCTGAAGAAGTTCTGCTGTTGATTGGTTGCGACGTACCAGAAGCACACTGGGTGTTAGACCAGCGGTTGGGTGGGAGAAAAAGCCCGTACGCTGTGAAGACGTTGCTGGGTTGGACGGTCTTCGGACCTGCGTCGTATCCGGAATATAGGAGAAGAGTGGTCAATCATACCAGTAAGATACAGACCTTGGAGAACGAAATACGTAAACTTTATGATGTAGAGTTTTCTGATGTTTATTCAAATGATAAATCAGCATCGCTAGAAGATAAGGCGGCTATAAGGATTGTGGAAGAGGGCACACGCTTCGAAAATGGTCATTTTGTAGTTCCTATACCATGGAAAGTGAACCCAAATATGAAAGGGGGGAATTATGAAGTGGCAAGCAGTAGACTACAGAGTTTGAAGCGTAGATTGTTGAAAGATGACATTCTGTATATCAAGTATACAAAGGGTATTGAAAGTAATTTTATTAAGGGCTATGCGGAGGAGATCCCTGAAATACAACTGCAACCTAGTTATCGCCCTCGTTGGTACTTGCCCCACCATGCAGTTATAAACCCGAAAAAGCCAGAAAAACTGAGAGTGGTCCTTGACTGTGCCGCTAAGTTTGCGGGTGTTTCTCTAAATGATATGATTTATCAAGGACCCGACACAACGGCTGAGTTAGTGTGTATATTATTGCGTTTTCGCAAAGAAGCAATCG